ATGTATTTTATATTTTCGTCGGTAATTGAATCACGTTTCGCCCGAAAAGGTAAAATCCCGCGAAAATTGGGTCGGCACAATCTCGCGTTTCCGCTTATTTCATGTTCCACATTAGAGAACATTTTTGGATTAGCCGCCGCCGCCGCTACTCGCGGCGGCGGGAATCTCGTTCAATTGCGAATCTAAATTAATTCTCCCGTTCTTAATTAATACGCAGGTTAATGTCGCGCCGCGCCAGGCCAAGCCCCGTGCCGAATACCGGACGTTCCGTACGGATACAGCAGGAAGATTCGAATCTATCGTCACGGTCGGCCGCACGCGCGTTATACGGCGACACCACAATGGCCGATTGCGCAATTATGCGATATTTGCTCACGCGTAAATTTCAATTAAACGAATGCTACCCAGTAGACGAGCCGATAGAGGCGTATGGCACGCTGCCTAATGTAACGAACGCTATCGCCGCTATAGGCGCATATGTGCAGAACGCAAATCAAAGACGCTTCGTAATTCGTACTCCGGCCGCCCTCGCCCTCGCCCCCGGGACGCCTGCGGTCTTAATTTCTCACTGACATCCCTTCGCTCGCTCTGCGCTTCCTCATGTTCGCGGATTCTTCGGTGCTTACGTGCGGATTCTCCTCCGTGAACACACGGAGAACGGAACTTGTCGCTTTTGTTTCCTCTTCCGTTCTCTCTCGCACGGAAATTCTTTTCGGAAATTTCGCGCTCCTCGGACGAAGGACGACGAAGTCGTCGTCGCTTTTGTCACACACACGCGAGTACGCGCGGTCCTTGAAATCCAAGGAGATTGCAGTACGTTGTACGAGCAACGTGAAATACAGTCGCGTATTTTCGCAGAGAGCTGTTCGTTTTCGGCAGTCCGACGGTATATCGTAGAGCGGTGCAGTTATCTGCAACAGCGTGTTCCAGCGTGTATTCTCTCTTTTTTTTTTTTTTTTTTTTTTTTTTTTCCCCCGAAAACACGTTTCCGCCGTTTTCGCGGCAATCACGGGCGCTCGCGTGTTGCGCGACGTGTAGCGCGCGTTAAATGCTGTATCCCAGGGAGTGATGATAAAAGTAATGATAAAAGTTTTTTTCATACATTCGGTCACACGCGCGGTTCCCGTTCGACTACCCGCTCGCGACAAGAAAAAAAAAACAGACGGAGAAGACGGAAGGAAGAGCAAAACGAGAAAGGAGGAGAGAAGAGGCTTCGAGCGGAAATCCTGCAGGAAATCGTTCCGCCGTGGCACAATAAGTGACGTGACGGTGTCACAATGGCCGTGCTCGCTCGCGCGAACACGTCGTGGGGTACGTCGTTTCGTTCCGACGGTTCCGCTAAATCACGAGAATCGCCGCTATTGAGATCACATATATACGAATCGTCGTCGTCGTCGTCGACGCGACGAGCGCGACGTGCGCGACGCGCGATCAGTAGCGGGTGTCAGAAATGCCGCAAGACGGTTCCACCAAATGCATCCTTCCGTAAGAGGTGCATCCTTCGCGAAGAAGCGAGCGCGGGGGGCGTTTCCGCTGCGGGTCGTTCTCGCTCTCGGATACGTCCCATACGCGCGGGTGTATTTTTCTATCAGCAGCTCCGAAATAGACGGCAAATGGTAACGCGACGCTCGACACGTGTCCACATCTGACTCCCTCTGCTCCCTCGTCTCCTTGACCTTACGAAATTGTAGAACGCCCGCACACGATGTTACCGGATGTGCCGGGCCTGTCGAGTCGCGGCTCGCTAAGTCCGAGAGACATCCTCCGTCTCTCTCCGTGTCTACGTGTGTTGCCAGGGTGTAATGAAAGTGTATGACGCGTTACTTCGAGAAGTACATATCTGGCGACTCCGCCGAGGCATTCTCGATGCCTGGCGCACACGTTATCCCCGCGGATGTATGTACGTGTATGCAGCGGGTGGGCACCGATGCATCTCCGACGTGTTCAGTCTCGGGACGTGACGTAGAGGGTGGCGAAAGGAGGTACCGGCACGACGACCCACATTCCGTCGAATTTAATTTCATGCCTTATCTCCGGTAGCTGCGGTACAATGCCTCAACTGGGGCGGTCGCGCGGATCTCTTTCTCGCTCGCGAGTCACACACGGCACTCGCGCGTGCACACACACACACACACACACACGTGCGTGTGCAGACGATGCACGCACACACGAGTGTCGTTAACGGTGTCATACGCACACACCATGCACTTCGCTCTCTCCACCTCGCACGCTCTATTTATACGCAGTACCTCTCTCCTCTGTTCTCTCTCTCTCTCTCTCTCTCTCTCTCTCTCTCTCACGAACTTGTTCGAACAAAAGATCTTTCTCGATCCCTTCTTAACCGTTCTGTAAATCGTGTCTAATTTCTTTTGTATTGCGAACATTTTTACCGCGGCGAAACAAGCGGGAGGGCGAACTGCGCGAGCGCAATTTGCAGCTTCCTCCACCTCCACCTTCTGAAATTCCAGAGAGTCTTAGCTAAAAATTAATACCCTAGATAAAATCCAATTATTCCACATCGACTGGCGCTTCCAGGTCACTCGTTCTATCTCGCTACGTACGAATCAAACTCACAATTCGCCCACAACACGCCCGACCGCGCGTTAACATCTGCCTTCCATTCTACGTCTCGCGGAAGCGAGACTCTCGTCAGACATAGCAAGTAGCTCATTGCCGGCTCTGCTTCTCCCTCCGCTATGAAAATCTCTTTGTGTGGCTCCGTAAAATCTACCGCGTATCTGCGAAACGCGCTCGCGCTCTCTTCTCGTTCTCATCATCGTCGATCTACATACGCGCGTTCTCTTCGTCTCGACCCTTGCTTCTCCTTCTCCGCTTTTCTTCCTCTCTCGGATGCGAATACATTCTCGTATCTTCCCTTCTCCTCTCTTTCCATCCCCCCCTCTCTCTCTCTCTCTCTCTCTCTCTCTCTCTCTCTCTCATTCCGCCGCACTTGGTGCACTCGGCTTCTCAGTCATTTACAGGCGCCCCTATCGCGGTCTAGGATAGTGAATTCGCGCTTCTCGTCTCTCTTCTCTCACCAGTTCTACCTCCCTTCGCTCCGCGCGTCGCATCGCGTCGCGTCGCGCGAGTACGTCTATTATTCGCCGTGCATCTGATGTACGCGTTTCTGCGAACGCGAGCGAATGTATATACCGAGGGTCGATCGTCGGCTGGCTATTTCTGCACGTGCTCCGCTCCGAGCGCGTAGTCTCTCTCTCTCTCTCTCTCTCTCTCTCTCTCTCTCTCTCTCCTCTCTCTCTCTCTCTCTCTCTCTCTGTCTCTCTCTCTGTCGCGCGCACGCGGTGTGACGATTGCTTTATCAAACGTAAACGGGGCTGACTGACGGAACGGGGTGCGCGTCATCGCGCTCCGTATCGACGGGATATAAAAGTCAGACACCTTCGGTGTCGAGCAAAATCGAGCGGCCCCGAGATCCCGCTCTGGATCTCGTCGTCGACGTAAGCGCGGGTTTCGTCAACGGAACTTGCCACGCTTCGCGTGGCGTCGTCAGACGCGGGGACGCAATATGGTCGGGAATCATCGACCAATTTGTTCTCCTCATGTTTCTCAGAGGGATTTCCAGAGGTATAAAGAGTTAAGGGAGAAAGAGGGAGGGAGGGAGGTCGTCCGCGACAGCAGAAAAATATCCAACACGGTTGACGCGGGAAATGCCGGCGCTTCCGGGACCGAAGCTCACGGATTATTTTGTCGAGCCGGTCAAAGAACGCCATCCCGGCGCGGCGCCGTCCGCCACCCTGTGTGTCGTAAATGGCCGCCGATGTTTACTGATCGGATATAACAAACTTGCCGGTATCTCCGTGGCGTTGAATATTTAGATGGTGGTCTCGTCTCTCTCTCTCTCTCTCTCCCTCCCTCTCTCTCTCTCTCTCTCTCTCTCTCTCTCTCTCTCTCTCTCTCTCGGACGAGTTAATCGCGCGTGTTACACAAGCCGGCCCGCCTCTGTGCCGCGTTCCGCGTGCGAGCGCGAAAGGAAAATGCCGCGTGGCAAGGTCATTAACCCCGTAACGAGCCAATTACTCGGCGGGAGCTATTTGTCTTCGCCCGTCACGGACGTCTAATCGCCGATGCATCTAATCGCGCCGTTATCTCGCGCCCCGTGACGCCGCGGGGGTTCAAGAACCCCGCGTCGTCCGCGATCGGAATTGCTTCCGTACGGCGGCGATGTGACCTTACCTACCCTCCTCGGCCATTAAAGAGTCGCCACGCCGATCGTTTGCGTATTTTAGATCCTTGTTTTGCATACTGCATGCAATGCGGTTGGAGACGCACGAGGACGTGTCTTCCTCCGCGTGACCTAGAGAGAGAGAGGAGAAAAAAAAAAAAAAGAGAGAGAGAATTCAGCGCGCGGGAATGATACTCATGCAGCGTAAATCACTTGAAACGTTTAAATCGCTTAAAAGACGCTTTAGCAGAGACGTCGGTTATCCGACGGATATCCCATTTGCTTGCTCAGACATCTTTAGGATGTTTCTCGAGGGCATGTTTTAGACATTTGCGCTGTCTGGCTCGCTGCGATTCCCAGCGAACTGGAGCAAACAATGAGAACCTTAACGGCGTATGTCCGCGCGTAAGCGCAGCAACGTGAATGCTCGCTTTCGAAACAGTTTGAGCGCTTCCTTCTCGGTGCAGCCTGGAGCGCAGCCGACGGTCCGATGAAAGAATTGAGCTCCTGGTCCAGATTAATCCAGAAAATTCTCTCCAGAGAAAATACAGAGTTCTCTCATTGGAGCAAACGGCATCGAGAAAAGAGAAACGTTCAAGCCGTATCGGAAGCAAGTGTACATCTACCGAGTGCAAACAATCGCCTCCCATCGATCCACTTTATTCGTCGGATCTCGATTATCTCGGCGTCTTGTTGCGCTGAACGTTGCGCATCACACAACTCCGAGGCAAGAGATGTTTTCTCCGCTTCTTTCCCTCCCTCGTTGAAGCAAGAAAGGAGCGGAAAATCATATGATCGATATCGCATATTGACGCAGGTGAAGCAGCCCACCGGATGAGTGGCGACGGCGGCGGCCGAGGTACGAGGACGACGGTAGGACGACGGTAGGACGTTACCGCTTGCGGCTGCAGCTGCGGCGTCGCTCGCTGCACCTGCAGCTGCGGCGGCAGCGGCGGCGGCAGCGGCCAGGACGGCGACGGCGACGGCGACGGCGGCTCGCCGACGACGACGACGACGACGACGACGACGACGACGACGACGGTGGTTTGATCATAGCACGGCGAAACGATGCAGAACGCCGGTGATTATTATCAAAGAGCGCCGAGATGCTGTCCGGGTAGGAACGGCGGCGGCGGCGGTGGTGGCGGCGGCGGCGGCGGCGGCGGCGGTGGCGGCGGTAACAACAACAACAACGCAGGCGGCATCGCCGGCTCGGTGCGCGGCGCCGAGCTGCTCTGCTGCTGCTGCAGCTGCAGCACCGCCACCTCCACGAAGACGCCGGGGCTGCTGGCGTCGCTCGGGGTGTGCGTGCTCGTTCTCGGCTACACTCTGCTCGGCGCGTTCGCCTTCATGGCTCTCGAGGGAGGTCTGAAACCGGTGAGTGCTGCTCGCAGCAGTCGACGCGCCGCGATTCGACGTTGATTAGACGATAACGGCTAATCCTGTCCGGGGCTCTTAATCGTCCACCGGTCAACGACGGCGACGGGATCTCTCGATGACGACGGTGGATCGACGTTAATCGATTAATCCCGTTATTTAGCCCCTGCCCGCGACTCGTTGATCCCTTTGCTTTGCTTTCTCCTGCGTGTGTAGATCTGTGTGTAAATTTCGCTCCCTACCTAAATCAAGGTGGGTAATCGGGTTTTTGCTATTTGTCAGAAATACTTGCCGAAGGCACAGGAACACGAGGGAGGAGATTTTCTTTCTCTCTTCTTCTTACGTCTCCTCTCTGTCGTATCGTAAGGCTAATCGATGTCGAAGCGTGCAACGCGGCCGAAACCAATTTGATTAGCCGATATCGGTGCTAAGTTAATTGCTATTAGTAACGCTAATCGAACCGTGCGGTCTTCCCTGTTGTCCCTTAATGTCTCAACGCTAACTGTATAACAACGCAACGATGTTCGATGACGATAAGCGCTCCTCCCGCAGGATTCGCCTACCGACGTCGCGTCCTCCGGCAGCTCGAAACCCGACGGAGGTTCCTACATGCTACCGAATTTCGAGGACGACTCCGCCTCCATGGAGTTAAGGGCGCGCACGGTCGAGAGACTCTGGAGCATCACCGAGGATTTGAACGTCCTCTACAAGGAGAACTGGACTCGCCTGGCGGCTCGGGAGGTCCTCGAGTTCCAGGAGAACCTGGCTCGCGGTCTCAGACGCGCCTCGTCGCCGTATGAGCCGGTGCCACCGTTGCCTCCTCGGTCTCGAGAGCACCATGCGGCGGATAGGCGTCTTCACAGTCGACGGTGGACCTTCAGCGGCAGCCTGCTGTACTCCTTGACGCTCATCACGACCATAGGTCCGTCAGAAGTATCCTCGAACACGGCACCGTTCGATCCTTCTCTCTCATTTCGTACGACTCTCATTTCGACCCGCTCTCGCACTTCCATATTAAATATTCAATATCGCTCCCACACGTTTTCGACTCGAGGTGAACTCGACGAGGTGGAATTGTTGACCCGTCGTTAAAATTCAGCTCGCCAGTCGTGGGACGTGCATCTTGTGCAACGTTAATAGCCTCGATCGAAGATCCGACGAAATCCCGCTTCGAATTAAGCCTGAGAAACCTGCGAGAGAGCTGCCATGCGACTTATTCCCATCGCCGCCGAATCTCACCGAGGTTGACCTACACGCGCTCGTTCCGCTTCGTATCACTTTTAACGCGGAAGCCGTCGCTGACAGCCGAGAGACAACGTCACACACGGGGAGACGGATCGTTTCAGTTTTCGTCGCGTTCGCCGAACAAGCTCGAGAGCTGCCTCGTGCCGAGAGAACGTCCGCCGAGTATTATTAGCTCGCAGCCTCCAAGATCTAGCCACTTACGAGAAAACGTTTGAGAGTGTCGCTCGTCGATTTTTGCAGTCGACTTTTCGGTATTCTCTGCCGGAGCTGAACAGCTGAAAACAAGAGACGCTTTTTATTCTTATACTTTTGCGCTTCCCTGCGCGGGCTCCTCTGCGGGTCTTGAAACAAGCCCTCGAGAGGCGATATATACGGTAAAATAGAGAAAAGTGTCTTCGCAAGTAGTTTATGTAGTATTGATTTACATCAATTGTCCAATATCAGTTCTTCTGCATCTATCAATCACATCACGAGCAATTGATTGCGAAAACGGGGTGAAAAAAAAAACGCAGCACGCTTCCCTAAAGATACTTCGGCGAGTCTTGCTGATGCGCGCGCGCGCGCGCGCGCGCGCGCGGCAACTGCAGAGACAATGTTCGTTTCAGGATACGGTAATGTAGCGCCGCGCACAGTCTGGGGTCGACTGATCACTATTGTCTACGCCCTGGCGGGCATCCCGCTGATGCTGGTCTATCTGAGCACGGTGGGCGACGTGCTCGCACGGAGCTTCCGCCGTCTGTACGGGCGTATGTGCAGGCCGCGCAATTGCACACGCAAGCAGCAACCGCCGCCACCGCCGCCACCGGTAGGCGGCATCATGGGCAAGGCGTATCGCTACGACAACCACGTGGAGACCAAGGCCGGCAACTACTACTCGGCCAGCAGGGAGAGCTCCTGCGACGACCTGGGTACCCGCGGCACCAGCAGTGCGATTCTGCTCGATTGCGGGAGCGAAGGTCTCCTGCATGCCACCACCAGCTCGACAGCCGCGCTTCAGGTAGCACCTAGCCCCTGATAGTCACTGATCGGCCCATTTTAGAGTCAGTCAACATCAACTAACAGCAACGTTCATGATGCAGCAATGTTATAATTTCCCTGTCACACGATGTACATACACTGTTACACGTGTTGCGTTGCGCTTATATCGCTGAGGGAAAGCTTGATTATGGATTATATCGATTTCATGGTTAGTTATTTTTGTTTTACGGGCAAACCTGTTAATGTGCAAGGAGAGTTTATATCGCAAATAATAATTTATAGCAACCTTGTGTGTATAGCAAATGTGCCGCGAGAAGGAAAGAATAAAAAAAAGTGTTACTGCATAAGTTGATGGTTTTCTGAATATCAGGTCGAGTCGAGGCGCAAATAATGACTCGCCATAATGAATCGCTCGGGTTGCGATTCGATGTAATCTCGCATGCGAGGACTAAAGGAACTACGTTCGTCTCGCTCTTTCGTCAGGACGTAACGACGGGTAACGGCAAACGGCACTTTCACCCGTGCTCGTTGTCCCTCTCGTCCACCTCGTCGCCGGCGTACATGCTGGAAACTAACCCGGTCCGGATACCCATCAGCCTGTGCCTGGTGATAATGCTGGTGTACATATGCGGCGGCGCGGTAATGTTCAACCGTCTGGAGGGCTGGAGCCTGTTGGAGGGCGGTTACTTCTGCTTCACCAGCCTCGGCACGATCGGCTTCGGCGACCTGATGCCGGTGGGCCGCAACGCACCCTCAGCCACCTTGGAGGAGCTCAGCTTGTGCGCCTGCTCGCTCTACATCCTCGCCGGGATGGGCCTGATCGCCATGTGCTTCAACCTCGTCCAGGAGGAGGTGGTACGCGTGGTCAGGGTCTTCGGTAGAACCTGCGGCATGTCGTCGGGCGTGGTGGTCGGACCTATCAGTGGTACAGGTATCCCTGATGAAGGCATTCGGTGGGGAACCAGTAGTGAGTCTTCCGCGGTTCAGAGAATGCGCGCGCGCGTGATAGAAACTGAGCGAATCCTGTCGGTGCGAAATCGCGATCGCGTTCGGGAAATACAAACAACAACCGCACATACGATCGCACGTTGCGGTAACAATTGACTCTGATTGAGCCGCGTCCAGTCAGGCTCGATTGATCGTGATTTCTCGATCGAAACATGCTTTACCTTGTCATCTTGACACCACCCAATAAGAATGCTACGTTCATCACTAACGGCCAGTACCATCGACGCGAGATCCCATCAACGAAGGGGAGGTCCTACTGCGCGATTTAGTCCTGCGTATAATAGGTGTAGTCCGTGCGGGACGATATGTCCTCCGAGATAACGACGCGACTCTGGTCCTGTCCAGTAGAGAGCTATATGTGTTTATCTCGAGGCAGCGATTGCCGAGGCGACTCAACCGCCTTCCTCAGTCACGCGTGCTCCCTCTTTTTCTTGCAGCAGGTGCCGCATCCGGGCTCAAGGCTGACCTCGACGATGGAGGCGGCACCAGCGACTCACGGCTGTCCGAGCAGGAGGAGGAAGCGATCGCCATGTCGATGGTGCCGGCCGGATCCTGACAACATCAGGCCAGGAGCCCCGGCGACGGCAAGCTCCTGGCTCACCCGTCGAACACTGCCATGAAGTTGTCGCCCAGCGGCCACCACTCGCTGCCGCGCAAGAAGACGCCGTTGGACGGCAGGAGCAACTCGTCCACCGCCAACGTTCAGCAGTTCCAACGGGGCCAGCCGTTGAGGAGAAGCTGCCTGTCGCCGACGCAGTATCATCATCAGCAGCAGCAACAGCAGCAGCAACAGCAGCAGCAGCAGCAGCAGCAGCAGCAGCAGCAGCAGCAGCAGCCGCCACCGCCGCCGCATCATCATCAGCACCGTCAGCAGGAGAGCTCATTGCACTTTGAGTACTTTGTGCCACGTAGCGTCAGCGAGTTCAATCTCGCAGCGGCCGCTGTCACCGATATGGCGGTGCCGCCGCCGCCACCAGCGTCGGTCCTGAGGCCTTCGTCGGCCATCACGCCGCCGGTTGCCGCCGGAGTGGCCGCGACCGCCGCCGGTACCAGTCAGACTCGACTGTTAGACAGTGGCGGCAACACTGCTACCAGGAGTCGCGAGAAAATGGTCACGTTCGAGGACGAGGGGGTCAGTGCTTGCGCTACCTCGACGCCGACTAGGAAGAATTTATCCGGTCTGGAGAACGTCTTCATGTGACGTCTTCGTGTCTTCCACGGATAATGAAGAAGCGATTCCTTCGCGTCTCATGTTCGAGGCTGGCACAAGGAAGACGAGGGGGTCTCGACATCTTCGTTGTCGTGGCTGAAACGTCAAGGGAGAGAGCCTGAGAGAGACATATTTCGAACGCTTAAACGGTGAGGTGAACTAAGTCGGTGATGATGTCGAGAACCAGGGAGTGGATTATGACGCTGTTGAACCGCGTCAAGCCACTAGACACGAGTATCTCGTAGTCGGAGAACCTGACTTGGGATTCACGCAATTTCCTGACTGAGACGGAAGATCGGAAAACGAGGGAATAAAAAGACAAGGATCAAACAGAGAGACAGAGGGATGAGATGTCGACAACGTTCATAAGACTGCAAAGACCTGCATAACGCTGGCTAACGCGGAGGCTAATCGCGAGGATATTCCAGATACACACCGAGAATGGCAGGATGGAGGCTATTGACTCACAAAAAGGCCAGACTCTGAACGGAATACAACGTCGGAGAAGATTCCATGTGCGATAGTATCGCTCTGTCAAAGAGGCATTCGACGTGAATTTTCACCACTGTGAGGATCTCGCGATCATCGCGAGGAGAGCGTTCCGGGGTGAAAACAGCAGCCCGAGCAACGCAGAGTCGCGGAAGCTGTCCACGAGAAGCATTCTAATCGTACGTTTCAGATGCTCCTCTCGAAAGAGGATCTCGCATAAGAGGACATCTTCGCAGGTGTCTTTTCGTTGTTCAAGGTAATTGTCGTGCGTGTCTCTGATGATTGTTTCTTTCCTTTTTAAAGATGCGGCGTAGGTTCCAGTAAGTTCTCCATCGTCATTCGCGACCCCCACGCACCGCGAGACTGCACGAAAGCGAGGAATAAAAGACAAATGCCAAATAAACGCTCAGAAAAAAGACAGGAGGAGAAGACGAAGACGTTAGAATCTCGACACCGAAGAGTTGATCGCGACAGCGGAGTTGACACGAAGCGGACTTCTCCTCGAGTCGAGTGCCGACTGTATATTTCTTATTAACGATTAAGAGCCGTAATTATTGTTATTATTACACTTGCACACCGCGTAGGATATCTGTCGAGTATCCAAATTTTATGTCCGATAAGTCCGACTATGTATTCCGAATGTTATAAACAATAGCCTGTATATATATTCGAGAAGTATATATATTGAACATTCTATATATATATATATATATATATAACTTATACGACTATCATATATCAAATAAATAAACAAAGTTCTATACATGTCTGAGATGTCTTTTTATTAGCATTATTTTGGAGATAATGTGATAGCGCATTTTTATCTAGCTATTAAAATATCCAATATCCATTCCAAATATCGATACTTATATTTTACGTTTTTTATAACGCGATATTATGACTGACACCGAAATAAGAAATCGGGAAACTGAGAAAATTGTGGTTCCACTCCCGGCTAAATTTCATGCAGATTGTGGTAAATTTTATGGTAAATTGTGGTTCGAGTCCCGGCTGAAATAAACTTCTTAGTTGAAACATTTAGCTGATAAATAGTCGTTCAAATCTCGGTGAAAAAGTCTATTTTGGCCGAAAACTTGAATTACAATTTTTTATTGACTCTTATTATATTTCGCTGCGAATCGTAAAATAAATGTTATTCATTTGAAATTGACAATTTTTATTCGTCATCAGTATCATATCTTAGTAGCATTCTAATTACATTAACACGTATCTAATTTGAAATATAATTATCTATTGAAACTAAATTGTTTATTTATTTAGTGTTTTATACTTAGCTTGCAAAACAGACTTTATTTAAGAAAAGTTGCATTAAAAATGTCATAGTCCCCGTATCATTACGCTTCATTATTACGTATCATCATTATTGCGCTTACAAGAGCAGAAGAGCGATCGAATATGATCGATTTAAAATCTAAAAGAACCGTCGAGAAATTTATCGGAAAAACATAAAATACGATATAAAAATGGGCTCTTACCGTCATGAACGATGGCAAAGACAGATTGAACTTATCATTTGTCGATATTTTACACTCTAAATTACAAGCCAGTGCCATTAACATAAATGTACGTTTTATGGACGATCCAAATCGATACCATTCTTCATGAAACGCCTCTTCTGTCATGTCCTTGCTCTAAATCGAACACAGAAAAATTACATGAGAAGGTACGTTACATTAATCTTTTAACTGGTCATGTTTCAGGAAACTTGAAATTCATCCCAAAACTAAAACAACTGTTTTGTCTGAGAACGGGAAAAGCTTACCGCATCCCGCAGCTGCTGCAAGCAAAGACACAACATGTAAAACTGTAATACGGAGCCACACGTGAACGTGACAATTACAAATCCTTCTATAAAAGTTGTTGCTAAGACCTGCGGATACATGTGCAAAGGATTATCCCTCATATCATCGTTCTATAACTGATACGGACAAACGTATTTTTAATTATTCGTAGAGAGAGAATCAAGATAAATTGTGCTACTTACAGTGCCCAACATAATACCGATAAAACAAAATCGTAAGACGCTGTTTATATAAATCATACTGAAGCTCAAAGACAGCAATTGCCTTAGCAGAGCAGATAAGCTGAAATAGAACTCCAATACGTACACGTAAGATAAGTACAACAGAATCTCGACTTTTGTCACGTAACTTTTATTCAAATTCACTTGAAACGTCATCGAAATGAATTTAAAATTCGAATGAGTTTAAAAATAGGAAAAAAAGAATAGGACATAATATATTTTTTTCAAAAAGAATACACAATACAGTAGAGGAATTGATGTTTCTCTAAGTAGCAAATTCAAACGGAGTTATACCGACATGCCGCTCTGCCGATCTACATACATCTTCTGTACATGGATAAGTGTAAACAACATTTGTCCGTTCATTTACCATTGCACAGCAGTATAATGCCGACACAATGCTTTCATCTCCTTTTCCGTCCATCCATCTGCTTCGAGGCTCGATTGTTCCATTTTACTTCGTAGATTGGCATCCCGAAATATCGCGGCGAGCTTCTTGGCGGTATAACGATATTGCGCCGTCATCATCATCACCAGATGTATCATATAAATATCTACGCTGCCCTTCTTTAAAAAAGTATACATGTTACCGATCAGTAGGAAAATGTTGCCCATGAGGAAGACCCCGACCGAAAACGGCTGCTTGGAGAAGACCGCTGGTATCCTGTAATCCTCGTAACGGAAGGACGTCTTCTGGGAGACTAGTAAAAACGGTACGCAGCACCACAAAAAGACGGACAGACTACCTGCAAGCCAGTAGAACTTGAGCGGAGCGTTCATGGGCTGGAAAATCGTCGTTACGACGTTTCTCATGATCTCGTCTTCGTTACGCAGCATTTCGTTCAGTTTGCGAATTAATCGATCCACCAGTTCTCTGCGGGCGTAAATTCGTCCGACCATGAAGAATATTTCGATATTGACCACGATGACGACCGTGCCGTCTATCAGAGCTTTCTCCCACGGCACCATAACGAGACCGGGTATCAGGACGATTATTTGCGCCAGTAGAAGCAGCCATATCAGAACGCTGTATAATTTCCATGCGATGGAAAATCGCGAGACGCCCGATTCCAAAGGTAACAGATTGCCCGAGAGAAAGTTTGCGTGAATATTCAGTGGGTTCAAGTTTCGAAAGTCCATTTTTGTCACAACGCTTCCTTGTGAAAAGCTTGCTTTCGATTATTCGATAGAAAAAGAACGGATGCTTGTATTTTTTAGATAGATGTCACTCGATAGGAATTTATCGTTAAGAAGCATTATTAAGCATTATCGTTCAGGCAAGACATGTGAAGACTAAGGCCGCAAGCTTGTGCGTTCTCTCCTCCCACGGGTACAAATACGACCCTTTTTTTATCGCAATTCGAAATTAGTTCTCGGTCAACTGTCCATCAACTATTCTATTCCTATTGCTACTTATTATTCCGACCGAGTTGCTGTATTTTTGCTTGCTTGTACTTTGTTGTATTTTTGCTCGTTAATACATGATGTGCGGTCAAACGATGGGCGGGACCGGTTTTCTTGCATCCGATAGCAAGCAAGAGTATCGACAAAGATAAGGATATACTTACACTGTATCTGATCTGCTCGACAGACAACAGGAAGTTTCTACTTGCCTTATTATAAGACGCAAATGAAAGACTTGAGGTAGTAAGAGAATATCGCGGCAGTGGAGACGATAATTAAAGAGGAATATCCTATTCAATTGTCATCTTAATACCATCGATTAATATCTTTCTCATTTTTTTCATCGCAGGGAAGAGAGACTATAAGCTTCTTTGTAATCGTTCTCCCTCGTCGAAGCGGCAATTATCTTATATCGTTTCGCTGGATATTGTGGAGTAGCAAAATTCAAAGATATGTTTGTGAAGCCTCGCTCTGTCTGGCTTTATTGTTATAGGACATGAGTTAATGTGTGTGAAGTTAGCATCGCCATTTCGTACTTTCGCAAAAAACGAAATTGTGCTGAGTTGCGCTAGGTTTGTGCCACGTTGTGCCGCAAGAACCAATCACCTATCTCAAAAAACAAAACGACAATTAAAAAAAACAATTTTTTGGCCAGCATCGCCCTTTTGTTTTTTCGAAAAAACAAAAATTGTGCTGGCTGCAGCCGCTGCTACTGAAAGTTGTGCCGCAAATATAAAAACTCTATTTCTTTCCGTTCAAGAGAAAAAAAATATCAAAGATTTCGAATTTAAGATATAACGTTTATTCCGATCGGACTTATACAACGCGAGATACAGATAACTAAAGCCATCTATTGGAAAAATAATGGATTTCTTTTTACTACACCTGATATCTTAAATTCGAAATATTTGATATTTGTTTTCTCTTGAACGGAAAGAAATAGAGTTTGTATATTTGCGGCACAACTTTCAGTAATCGCGGCTGCAGGCAGCACAATTTTTGTTTTTTCGAAAAAACAAAATGGCGATGCTGGCCAAAAAATTGTTTTTTTTATTGTCGCTTTGTTTTTTGAGATGGGCAATTGGTCCTTGCGGCACAACGTGGCACAAACCTAGCACAACTCAGCACAATTTCGTCTTTTGCGAAATTACGAAATGGCGATGCTAACTTCACACACATCATGAGTTAATCTAATTTAATCCGCATTTAATGTGCTACGAAGTGCATCCGTGCTGTTTCTATTATTTGCCTAAATAAACCACAATAGTATATGACTTTGCTGCTACACTGCTGCTAAAATCTGAAGGTTAGTTGTTGTTTTTATTGTCGGAAACGTATTAATTATTTATATTTTAGTAACCGATTTTTGAAAAAATGGAATCGAGCGTTATAACAATGTGACACATAACACATGAGTACATAAAGATGTAGTTTTTACGTTTAATATCATATAATACATTTACATTTAATATCTCTCTGATTATTGGTGTTATATTTTAGTGATTTTGAAATCAATTAACATGTGTGCATTATTTTGTATGATATTATCTACTTGCATTAATTTTCGTCCACTTATAAATTTAACGTCATTTCTGCAGTTTGCAATACAAAAATTTTCATTCAAATCTAAAAATAATTCATTCATATCTAAGAAGGCTACGAGATGTTTACATCTTTGTTGTTCTTCTCGTTCATAAAAGCACGAGGGCAATCGAGTACGATTGATTTAAGATCTGAAAGGTCGCTGAAGACTTATCGAGACAGATGTCAAATATTCTTCTGATACATGTAACATAAATTCTTACCGACATGAACGAAGACAAAGATAGATTGAATTTATTGTTTGTCGAAATTTTGCACCCCAAGTTCGTGCCCAACATCATTAATAGGAATGTACGTTTTATGGGCGATCCAAATCGGTACCATTTTTCGTGGAACGCTTCATCGGTCAGGCCTGCGCTCTAAAAATCAATCATAGAAAATGGTGCGAGAGGGGGGGGGGGAGAGCAATGAAATATATTATAATTTTTTAATAACAATTTTCTCTCTTTTTCTCCTACTATGTCCTATGTCAGAGCGGTTGGAATTTATTTGAAAATGAAACAACGACGGTCGACGAAGATAATTTTGCTTGAGGGATGGAAACTGTACCCTGTAATGAAAGCTTACCGCGTCCTGTAATTGTTGCACGCAAGAACACAATATGTAAAACTGGACTATTGAGCCGCACGTATACATAAAGATCGGGAAACCTTCCAGGAAAGCCGCCTTAGGCACCTGTGCATATGTACGACGAAGACTCATTGCTTGTTATAATTTGGACAAATAACTATATATTTATGCAATTCGTACAGAATATATTAGATATACCGTCAGATAATAATACCGTCAGTTGATTATGATGTGACCGTAGAATAATTAGCGTTGATTGTATTACTTACTGTGCTCAACATAACACCGATAAAACAAAATCGTAAGACGCTGTTCACATAGATCATACTGAAGCTTAAAGACAGCAATTGCTTTAGCAGAGAAGATAAGCTGAAACAGAGCTCTAATATGTACAAGTAAGACACGAGATTGTGCAACACACTTTACGCAACTTGAAATTCCATCGAGTGAATTTCGTGAACAAAGCAGAGAAAATATATAGTTTTAAAGAATGATTAAAGCGATGATGCGTCCACGGTTATTTTTCGAGTGCAAGAGAAAAATATAGTGCAGTCGAACATTAGAAGCCAATCTTGTTTTCTTTTCTATTGATGCGTATCTCTTCTAGTCTCCTGAACACAGACAAATTTGAGCACAATTTTTGCCCTACTACTACTACTTACTGTAAAACAGCAATGTGATGCCGGCACAACGCTTTTATCTCCTTTTCCACCCATTGATCTACTTCAGGGCGAGATTGTTTCAACTCCCCTTGTAATTTTGCATTCCGAAATACTGCATTCAGCTTTGTGGTGGTATAACGATACTGCGCCGTTATCAACAGTACGAGGTGTATCATGTAAATATCCATTCCGCCTTTCTTCAGAAAGATATAAGTGTTACCGATCAGCACGAAGATGCTGCCCATCAGGAAAATCTCGACCGAGAACGGCTGCTTGGAGAAGACTGCTGGCATCCTGTAATCCTCATAACGGAAGGAGGTCTTCTCAAAGATCAGCGGCAGCGGTATGCAGCCCCACAGGATGACGGACAATCCACCTGCCACCCAGTAAAACCTGAGGGGTGCCTTCATGGGCTGCAGGGTCGCCGTCACAATCCTCTTCATGGTCTCGTCCTCGTTGCGCAGAATGTCGTTGATTCGCTGGATCACTTGACCCACTAATTTTCTGCGCATGTGAATCCGCCCGATATTGAAGAACACCTCGATGGTGAGCACAGCAGTGACCGTGCCGTCTACCAAAGCTTTCTGCCGTGGCACCATGATGATACCGGGGATCAACACGATCACCTGTATCGCTTGAACCAGCCACATTAAGGCGGCATATAATTTCCACGCCATCGAAAATTGCGAGTCGCCCGGGGCTAAGGGTAGCAAGTTGCCCGAAAGCAAGTTCGTGCGAACGTTCAGGAGATTGACGTTTCGGAAGTCCATGTTGTGCAGCGAAGCTTCTTCGTGAAGAAGGATTCAGATTCCTATCGGACGTTCCCTACATAAATTTCACTCGGCTCGATCCATTAGAACGCATTTAATACCGGACACGCAAGGATAATGTTGGTAAAGTCTCGTACGTTTTCGCCTTTGCGCACGATCTCACGTCGCGTGTCTTCTCTCCCTGCGACGGCGCGACGAACACGCAGGCCTCTTGTATCGTGATTCAGAGACCGTTCGCAGTCAATTGTAGATCTATGGTCATTCATTATACCCCACACGGGGCCGCGCATCTTCTTGGCTGTGGTTAATATATACAGACACGCTGTCGCTCGACAAACGAAGACATTTCACTCCTTTCGATGGCGCTTGAAAATATCGGCGAGAGGAAATGTCTGTAATTTATCGTTGGTGTTTCCCGATAGACGACGACGGACAATTTCTACTTGCTTTGTTATAAAATGCAAATAAAGGACTTTGTGTGCAAATGTCGCGGTACTTTATCGCAGAACAAAACTATTTTTGTCATTTTGTTTATTGCGAAAAAGAGTGGCTATAAGCTTCCTTGTAATCAGCCTCGCGTAGCGAAGAGGCGATTATCTTATAGCGTTCCTAGCGGACATTATCGAACAGCAATATTCGAAGACACCGCAGAAAAGACTCACGCTGTCCGACTTCTCGTTGACGTGAGGATCTATCTAGGATAATCCGCGACGAGTTACTAGCAAAGCAGGCTAATTCACAAACGGAATGTCTGTATGTTGTTTCTCTGTACATCGCAGGCTCATTTTTAAGATTGGTTGTGTTAGAGTTTCTATTGTTAGAGAGTACGTTAATCTCTTAATGTTCATAAATGATTTCTATGGGATTTTGAAGCAAATATTAAACATAATTGTGATAAATATTTTACAGAGGAAAAATGTTATATAAATATTGTATTTTTAGTAACACACTTCTGGCTTGGTTACTAATTGCACTAATAAATTTTAATTTTTCCAGTTTATTTCTCGTTCGATCAGAAATTGTGAATTTTAATATTTTTATTATAATAACATGCACGATTACCATAAATATTATTTTGCTTCCTTCACTGTTTAACTGTTACTTTTAGGATTAGAAGAGCGATCGAGTACGATTGATTTAAAATCTGAAAGATTGTTAAAAAAAATCTCAATAATTCGTCTTAAATCGCTAATGATAGTATTTCTAGTAATTACACGTGTGATCAATACGACGTACAATAGTACAAAAATCTCACCGTCATAAACGAGGGAAGAGACAGGTTGAATCTTTCAAAAGTTGAAAGTTTGAACCCTAAGTTACTAGCCATTATGATCAACATAAACATGCGTTTCGCGCACGGTCCAAATCGATACCAGTCCTCGTGGAACGCTTCATCCGTTATCTTCGTACTCTAAACTCGACAGAGCGGAGTAATACGCTATCGTGTAGTTGCATTCTATTGAATGTAATGTTTAATCGTCCGGCACTTGAGAGGTTTAATTCTACCATACCATATATCTCAATATTTATTTAAAAAGTGAACTCGAACACATGCATCTACGAAGCCTAACACTTGTTTTATTTGGCAAAATTGAAAAGCTACACGTGTTTCGACGAGACTTACCGCTTCTAATAATTTGTGGACGGAAGCACATACTACATACAACTGGACTATCTCGCTGCATGCGAAAGTGCAGATTGCCAATCTTTCGACGATAACTGCCAATTCTGCGGACGGTATCTAAAGTTTCACACGACAAGATACATCGTTGCTATATAATAATTGATAATAATTCGTGTTAAATGCACAAAACGTCACGCTTTTACCCCGTCATTGCAAAAATATCCTTCAAGTAATTAGCTTTAAAAAATTAATCGAGATTTACCGAGAGTATCATAACAGCGAGGAAGCAGAATCGAAGCACTCCGTTCACGTATATCAGACTGAAATTCAAAGACAGCAATTTCTTCAGCATTAACGTTAGTCTGTAACAGAAAAACATTTCACGAGAAATTTTAAGGATTTTAACCAGCTGAAAAAGAAGTTTCATCTTTTCCTGGACAACTTCTCGAAAACGTCGCTTACTTTATGGCAGAGATGTGATGTTGACATAACGTTTTAAGTGCCATCACCATAGTGCGACCTGCCTTCGAGTAGTCCTTGTGAAGATCCTCGTAATCATCCAACTGGTTACCTTCTCGAAATATCGACACAAGTTTTTGAGAGGTGTATAAATGTTGCACCGTTATCAACAACACCAAGTGAGTCATGTACATGTCCACGGCGACTTTTTTCGTGATAAGATATATGTTGTTCAACAGCACCACAACGTTGATCAGTACGAAGCTTGTAACGGAGAACGGCTCCTTGGAATAAACCACCGGCGACTGCAAATCCAAGTAGTAGAAGATATTCTTGTGTAAAGTCAACGGCAACGGTACGCAACACCACACGATGGCCGCGACTGTGCTGACGACCCAGTAAAACTGCAGCGGAGTTTTCATCGGCTTCAGAGTCATCGTCAACACGTCCTGCATCATCTCGTCCTGAATGTGCAGGTTGTCGTTCAGTTTGCGGATCAGCTCCTGCACTAGCCTCTTCTGCGTGTAAATTCGTATAATTATCACGGACACTTCCATGATGATTACTATGCTGATCATGCCATCTTTCAGACTCTTGTCGCCCGGCACGAAGAAAAAACCGGCTATCAAGCCGCACAGATAAGCCAACACAAATGACCAACCGACGACGCTGTTCAGTCTCCAAAAGAACGGAAACGACGAGTCGTCGCTGCTCATCGGCAGGAGATTTCCAGAGATCAGGTTCATCCAGCGATTCAGCTTACTTATATCTCGAAAATCCATACTGCTCGATGGAGATTACTCTGCGAAACTGAAGATATAACGGCCGAGATCGCGATCGATTCGTCCATTTCTCCACTCATTCGTGCATTCTCACTGAACGTGGCTCAATTCATACTGTCTTCCAGGTGGGTCGTTTTTCGGAACTTGAAGTCCTCGACTTGCTTGACTGGTCGAATTCGACTAGCGGAGTTTCTTTCCCGTGCTAAGATAAAGTTTCACCGACGTAAAGAGAGACGGTATAATTATCGCACTATAATCGTCGCACGCTCGTTTCACATAGTAAATGAGGGCTTTTAGTGCTACGCTAGTCTGATATTAGCACATTTACCCTCGTCTCGTGTTCCGTGGTCGACGCTTGTTGATCTACTCTAAAGAAACGACATTCGAGTCGTTATTTAAATGTTGCTCGCGGACTTTGAACGATCCATTAGATTTCTAGAATTTTTTCTCCATCTGCCCTTCGTTCTTCATCAATATATAATATCTGCTGACTGTTTGGCAAAACGCTGACGTACGTTCATCTCTGTAATTACTCCGTCATATAAACCCGCGATCATTAGCCCGATACATTGAATATTGTACATCGTTAACATACATTGTTAACAATATTAGCGCCCTCGTCGTATTTAATAATTTAAGAAGACTTCGTGTATAATTCTATGAACGTTAAAAAATCCATAAATATGTCATCATGATAATCGACGGCAACTTATCCGAGCACGTGAATATCCTGTTCACTTACTGTTTTTCTCCTGTTCATAATAACGAGCGACCTATAAAATTATAAATTAGACACTTATAAAGTTAAGTAAACAAATTCATAATTATTTTTCTCTAAATTAAATGTACTTCCAAGAGAGAGAGAGAGAGAGAGAGAGAGGGAGGGAGAGAGAGAGAGAGAGAGAGAGAGAGAGAGAGAGAGAGAGAGAGAGAGAGAGAGAGAGAGAGAGAGAGAGAGAGAGAGAGAGAGAGAGAGAGAGAGAGAGTTATATTAATTAACCACATTATCGTATATTTATGAGAAAGAGATGATAAAAGGGTACAGTTCAACATGTTCATTCCAGAAAATTAGTTTCAATCTCAATTCATCTCTGCTGCAAAGTACGTCGGATAATGAAAAATCTAAATCGTTTAATAATTTCATTTTCGTGTGCTTTAGAAAACTAGTCATCATTTTCTCCTTTCATTGTGTCTCGTGATATCCTACTAGTTATAAATTTTCGAACATAACAAGATGTACAATTGAGCGAACAACTCTTTCTATCGTCACTTTTTAATTAGTCCTTAAGAGCAGTAGAGCTATTGAATAGGACTGATTTAGAATCTAGAACGTTATTCGACGAATTAATAACAGATGTTCCCTCTCGGACATTATACCATAAATCATAACACACTAATCACACACACACGTGCAGAAAACTTACCGCCATAAATGAGGGTAAAGATAGATTGAATTTCTCAAATGTGGCGAGTTTGCAATCCAAGTTATTTGCCATTATCAGCAATATAAAGGTACGTTTTACCGATGGTTTGTGCAGATACCATTCCTCGTGGAATGCTTTGTTCGTTATTTCAACGGTCTATATTACACAAAAATTGCAATGTTTACCTACTGGCACATTATTCTTTCTTTGGTATATAATTCTCATAAAATTTTAGTCATCTTAAATAATATTTCTAATATTTTGATTACGACAAGATTTACCATAGAGATTAATAATTGTTATACAAGTGATTTTTAAAATGCGCCAATGAGATACAAATTTATCTGTTACGAGATATAAAGAACTTTTGTAATAGTTTACCGCATCCAATAACTGTTGCACACAAGAGCACAGTATATAGAGTTGTACTATTCCACCGCTCGCGTACATGACAATTAAATACCCTTCTAGTAGACTTGTCGATGGTACCTAAAGTTTCATGAATCAAACATAGATAAACAATAAACAAGAGGAATTTACACGATAAAATAAAATAGCGTTACACTTTCGTCGACTTCGATCATTATCTGTTAGCTCGTATTTTCGATATGGAAGAGTTTATGTAATTTATATTGAAAATTATTACTCACTGCTAGCAACATAATACCAATAGAGCAGAATCGGAGAACACTGTTGATATATAATAAATTAAAGTTTAAAGACAGTAGCTCTTTTAGCATGGACATTATACTGAAATAGAGCCCATAAGATATATACATGTTGGAATAATATATTGTACTAGAGAAAATTTTACTGCGAATGAAGACTGTATATTGACGATAGTTAATAACGACAATACTTATCTATGTAATATTATACATACCACAATAAAATATTCTACATGTAATTTGCTTATAAATATAATTCGAAAGAAAATAAAGACCCTCATTGGCGAAGAAACGCAAAAATTCGGTAAATTTCAATTTCTTTTCAACATTCTCAGCGAATGTACTTACTGAACGATAGCATTGTGATGTCGACACACCGCTTTGATCTCCTTTTCCGCAGATAAGTTACTCTTTGGATAACTTTTATTCCCAGCGGGATCGCTGCTATCATTTTGCAATATTATCGAGAGCTTCGACGCTATGTAACGATACTGTGCCGTTATAAGTAGTATGAGATGTATCGTGTAGGTGTCCACGGCGACCTTTTTTGTGAAAATCAACGCGCTGCTCGACATCACGATGAGACTACCTATCACGAAAGAGCCAGTGGATATTGGTTCTTTGCCATAGGCGACTGGCATTCTGTAATCCACGTAAGAAAAGGAATTTTTCTTGAGGATCATTAAAAGCGGTGTACCGCTCCACAGTACTATGGACATTACACCGGCCGACCAATAGAACTTCAACGGGATCTCCATCGATTTTAGACTCGCCGTTACGATACTTTGCATCATCTCATCGTCCAAGTACAGAATTTCGTTCACCCGTTGGATTATTCGTTGCACCAATCCTCTACGCATGTGGATTCGCGCAACCACAAAGAGCACTTCTAGGGTGACTGCGACACCGATCAAGCCGTCCTTCAGAGCTTTTTCTTTCGGTACGAGCATGCACCCGGGAATTAATATGATCATTTGTATCAACTCCAGTAGCCATATCAAGCTGCTGTAAATCTTCCAAAGTATCGGAAACGATGATCTATCAGCGGTCATCGGTAATAAGTTTCCCGCGATCTTGTTCATCCGAACATTGAAAGGATTGACACTTTCGAAGTCCATCTCGACTGCTCTTTTCTTTCCCTTTTTTTATACTTTGAGTCGTTTCGCAAAAGCGAAGAAGCAAGAGCGCGGACGGCACGAGGAGGATGTTTGAAACTTTGCATTTATCCCTTTTTTACGTACGCAGCTCCGTCATCGTGTCTGCTGCTTTCTGTCGATAGGATGTATAACACTTCCAACAGATACTCTGTATAATTACTCGCGGACTTTGAACTATTGATCACGCTTCTCTTACCCACTTCTTCTTTGTGCACTTTATTGATGTATTATTTTACCATGCCAGACGCCGTATGACAGCCTATGAAGCCGTAAGCCGCTTTTCGCTTGCTTCGCGATATTACTTTTGTCGCAATTGTCGCGGTGAATCTTGTAATTATACAGTGGATTTTACAAAGGTTCTTTGTATTGTGTCGTGCGGAGATAAAACAGCTTGAGAGTAAAGAGAATGGACGATTATTTGCCCATCATATAGCCCATTGCATTTGTTTCGCTTAGTAGAGGGCTGATACATATCTGTAAAGATGTTTGCAATTACTAACGGCAAACAGGTCATTATCTTATAGCGCGTCGTTTGATGAGCCAGTGAAAACCACTCGGAAACCTTCAAAACTGCCATATCTAATGCAAGCGTCATGGATGGAATACTGCAACACGTGCTGGGATAAGCTAATATTCTTCTTCGTAAAATGAAGTATCTTGAAATAGTATTACACTCTTGTTCCGGAGGGCCGAGGAATAATTAGACTTTTGTACATCATGGAATCCATTTTAGAATGAGTGAATATTTACCTTTTAATAACTACTACTTTCGACTTGAATTCAAGACGATTTGAAATATATAGCATATATAAAAGATGCGTACATACAGATGCAATTTATGCCGCAAAACCAATCTTTATTTAAGAAGATACTGAAATTTTTGTCGTATAAATAATCATTATCAGCACTTAGCACAAAGTTCGACGATTGGGTATCAGCAGCACCAGATATATCATGTACACGTCTACTTCGTGCGATTGTAAACAGTGCCGAGGAGCACCACGAGGCTTCCCATGAGAAACGTACTGATAGTGAACAGTTGTCTCGAAAAGACGACTGACATACTATATAGTCCTCGTAGGTGAAGATATTCTTCTTGAAGATCTCCGCAATCTATTCTAAGAGAGTTGCTCTATACTAAGAGACTATCGCGAACACGGCGATCGTTCCATAAAACTTGAACACTCGGTACGTGGTTCTTAAGGTCATTTGGACGACGTTCTTCATGATCCTTCGTTGGCTCCCAGTATACCGTTTAGCTTATCAATACATCATGAGAGAGACAGAGAGAGAGAGAGAGAGAGAGAGAGAGAGAGAGAGAGAGAAAGAGAGAGAGAGAGAGAGAGTTATAATAATTAACCACAATCGTCGTATATTTATGAGAAATGAAAGATAAAAGGGTACAGTTCAACATGTGTTACAGAAAATTAGTTTCAATCTCAATTCATCTCTGCTGCAAGGTACGTCGGATAATGAAAAATCTAAATCGTTTAATAATTTCATTTTCGTTTTGGAAAACTAGTCATCATTTTCTCCTTTCATTATGTCTTGTGATATCCTGTTAGTTATAAATTTTTTGACATGACAGGATATACAACTGAACGAACAACTCTTCCTATCGTCACTTTTCAATTAGTCCTTAAAATCAGTAGAGCTACTGAATAGGACTGATTTAGAATCTAGAACGTTATTCGACAAATTATAACAGACGTTCTCTCTCATACATTATGATATAAATTATAACACACTAATCACACACACGCACAGAAAACTTACCGACATTAATGAGGGTAAAGATAAATTGAATTTCTCGAATGTGGCGAGTTTGCAGTCCAACTTATTTGCCATTATCAGCGACATAAATGTACGTTTTACAGATGATTCGTGCAAATACCATTCCTGGTGGAACGCTTTGTTCGTTATTTCAGCGGCCTATATTATACAAAAATAACAATGTTCATCTATTGAAGCATTATCCTCCGTCTAACAACTCCGTCTAATTCTCATAAAGATTTCAGTGATCTTAAATAATATTTCTAATATTTTTATTACAACTAGGTTTATCATAGATATTAATAATTGTTATACAAACGATTTTTAAAGTGCGCCAATGAGATATAAATTTGGATCTTATGAGATATAAAGAATTGTCATCACTGTTTACCGCATCTAACAACTGTTGCACGCAAGAGCACAGTATATAGAGTTCTACTACTCCACCGCTCGCGTACGTGAGAATCAAATATCCCTCTAATAGATTTGTCGACGGTATCTAAAGTTTTGTAAATCACATATAGATTATAAACAATAAACAAGAGGAATTAACATGATAAAATATAGGAGTGTTACATTCGCCGATTTTGAGCGTTATATACCAGCTATTTTCGTTATGGGAAAATTTTCGTAATTTATATTGAAAATTATTACTTACTGCCAGAACCATTATACCGATAAAGCAGAATCGAAAAACGCTGTTGACATATAAGAAATTAAAGTTTAAAGACAGTAGTTCTTTTAGCATGGACATTACACTGAAATAGAGCACACAAGATATATTGAAATAATATATTGCACTAGGGATAATTTTACCGCGAATAAAGACTATGCATGAGAATAATTAATAACGACAACAATCTATTTACATAATATTACACATACCGCAATAAAACATTATAATGTAACTTGCTTATCATTTAATACAAATTAAAGATTTGACGGCAAAATAACGCAGAAATTCAGAAAATTCCAATTTCTTTTCAAGATTTTCAGCAAATGTACTCACTGAACGATAGCATTGTGATGTCGACACACCGCTTTAATCTCCTTTTTCGCAGATAGATCGCTCGTCGAATAATTTTTATTGCCAGTGGAATCGTTGCTATCATTTCGCGAAGCCTTATCTCGAAATATTACCGAGAGCTTCGATGCTATGTAACGATACTGTGAGGTTATCAATAGCGTGAGATGTATTGTGTAGCTGTCCACGGCAACCTTCTTCGTGAATATTAACATGTTGCTGAACATGATGATGAGACTACCTATCACGAAAGTGCCAGTGGATATTGGTTCTTTACCGTAGCTGATTGGCATTCTGTAATCCACGTAAGAAAAGGAATTTCTCTTGAAGATCATTAAAAGCGATGTCCCGCTCCACAATACTACGGACATTATGCCAGCCGACCAATAAATCTTCAACGGGATCTCCATTGATCTTAGGTTTGTCGTTACAATATATCGCATCATCTCATCGTCCAAGCACAGAATCTCGTTCAACTTTTGGATCATTCGTTGCACCAATCCTCTACGCATGTGGATTCGTGCGACCACAAAGGCCACTTCCAGGGTGACTGCGACACCGATCAAGCCGTCCTTTAGAGCTTTTTCTTTTGGTACGAGCATGCATCCTGGAATTAATATGATCATTTGTGTCAACTCCAGTAGCCATATCAAGCAGCTGTAAATCTTCCAAAGTATTGGAAACGATGATCCATCGGCGGTCATCGGTAACAAGTTTCCCGAGATCTTGTTCACTCGAACATTGAAAGGATTCGCACTCTCGAAGTCCATCTGGACAGCTTTTTCTCCCCTTTTTTACACTTTGAGTCGTTTCGCAAAAGAAGAAGCAAGAGCGCGGACGAGACAAGGAGAATGTTTGAAACTTTGCATTTGCATTTAGTCCTTTTTCACGTACGCGGCTCCGTCCTCGTATCTGCTGCTTCCTGTCAGTAGATGTTTGCACAACAGAATATACAATTATTTGCGAATTTTGAACGATTAATCGTACTTCTCTCAAATACCCACTTCTTCTTTGTGCATTTTATTGATGTATTATTTTATTTACCATGCTAGACGTCGCACGACATGTCTTTGGTAGCGAGACATTACTTTTGTCGCAATTGCCGCGGTGAGTCTTTTAATTACCGCTCTTGATTATATTCGTCAATATTGTACAGTGGATTTCACAAAGGTTCTTTGTGTTGTGTCGTGTGGAGACAAAACAACTTGGGATTAAATACCGCGAGAATAGACGACTGTTTGCAATGTAGCGCACTGCATTTGTTTTGAGATAGAGGGTAGAGGGTTGATACGTTTCTGTAGAGCTGTTTGCAACTACTAACGGCGAGCAAGTCATTATCTTATAGCGCGTCGTACGGTATTTCAGTGCCTCAGGAACCATCAGAACTGCTGATCAAATGCGTGTTATAAATGAAATACTGCAACAGGTGCTTGGACAAACTAATATTCTTCGTAAAATATCTTGAAACAATGTTATGCTTTTGTTTCGGAGGGCCGAGGAACAATTGGACTTTCGTACATCATGAAATCGTTCTTAGAGTGAGTAAACATTTGCCTTTTCATTAAACCAGTTATGTCAATCTGATTAATAACTAAAAATTAATAACTCGACTTGATCGTAAATAAGCAATTTTTGTATCATATTAATATATAGTAAAAAAAAGTATTATTACATAATAGAAGAAAAAAAGAAAAAGAAAAAGTGTTGTAATAAACAGTTCCATTTTTCCAATTAATCTGATAAATATTAAATTAACACATGCGCACTTTTTTCCTTCTATATATGACGGGGCGCGCATATGTGCGCGCTTGTAATTGCACATCGCTGTTGCCTCAAATTATTAGAAAAAATACCAACTGATTACAAAATTATGACATTTTTTTGTCAAACATGTCTTTTTCATACAATTCTGTCTCCGTAGCGGCATATAGTGTAAACTGTCCCAGTGTGCATATGTTAAATAAGTTCATGATTATTTTTCTCTAAAATAGAGGGAGAAAGAGAGAGAGAGAGAGAGAGAGAGAGAGAGAGAGAGAGAGAGAAAGAGAGAGAGAGAGAGAAAGAGAGAGAGAGAGAAAGAGAGAGAGAGAGAGAGAGAGAGAGAGAGAGTGAGAGAGAGAGAGAGAGAGGAGGGAGAGAGAGAGAGAGAGAGAGACAGTCACATTAATTAACAATAACTACAGTATGTTTATGAGAAAAAATGATACAAAGGTATTACTAACATGCGCTAAAAAAATCAATTTTAATCTAAATTCATCTCTACTGCAAAATATATAGAATAATAATAACTACTAAATCGTTTAATAATTTCATCTTCGTGTGCTTCCAAAAATCAGTCATTATCTTTTCCCTGTGCTCATTATATCCTGTGATATTTTGTTAATTATAAATTTTCGAACATAACAGAATGTACAATTGAGCTAACAATTTTTTTTATCGTCACATTTAAGTAGTCCTAAAGATCAGTAAAGCTATTGAATAGGACTGATTTAGAATCTAGAACATTATTCGACGAATTAATAACAGACATTCGCTCTCGGACTGTATACCATAAATTATAACACACTAATTATATACACGTGCAGAAAACTTACCGCCATGAATGAGGGTAAAGATAAATTGAATTTCTCGAATGTGGCGAGTTTGCAGTCCAAGTTATTTGCCATTATCAGCAATAAAAATGTACGTTTTACGGATGGTTCGTGCTGATACCATTTTTCGTGAAACGCTTTGTTCGTTATTTCGACGGCCTATATCACACAAAAATAGCAATGTTTATCTACTGGCATATTAGCATGTCCTTTCCTTTAGCAAGTAATACTCATAAAATTGTTTACCGCATCTAACAACTGTTGTACGCAAGAGCACAGTATATAGAGTTGCACTATTCCACCGCTCGCGTACATAATAATCAAAGATCCCTCTAACAGATTCGTCGACGGTACCTAAAGTTTCGTGAGTCAAATATAGATTATAAACAATAAACAAGAGGAATTTATACAGTAAAGTAAGAGTGTTACACCTTTGCCGTATCATATGTTAGCTATTTTCATTATGAGAAAATTTTTGTAATTTATACTAAAAATTATTACTCACTGCCAGAATCATTATACCAATAAAGCAGAATCGAAAAACACTGTTGATATATAAGAAATTAAAATTTAAAGACAGTAGTTCTTTTAGCATGGACATTACACTGAAATAGAGCCCAAAAGATATACACGTTGGAATCATATATTGTGCTAGAGGAAACTTTACCGCGAATAAAGACTGTATTTGTGTGACAGTTAAGGACAACAATCTATCTACATAATGTTATACATACCGCAATAAAATATTTCATATGTAACTTGCTTATAATTTATTAAGAATCAAAGCCTTCCAAAGGCGAAGAAATGCAGAAATTCTCAAAATTCTAATTTCTTCTCGGATTTTCAGCAAATGTACTCACCGAACGACAGCATTGTGATGTCGGCACATCGCTTTGATCTCGTTTTGCGCAGATAGATCAGTTGTCAAATAATTTTTATTGCCGAACGGATCGTTGCTACCATTCCGCAAAGTGTTATTTTGAAATATTATCGAGAGCTTCGACGCTATGTAACGATACTGTGCGGTTATTAGTAGCGTGAGATGTATTGTATAGCTGTCCGCGGCGACCTTCTTTGTGAATATGAATATGCTGCTGAACATGATGATGAGACTACCTATCACGAAAGAGCCAGTGGATATTGGTTCTTTACTGTAGGCGATTGGCATTCTGAAATCCACGTAAAAAAAAGAATTCTTCTCGAAGATCATTAAAAGCGGTGTACTGCTCCACAATATTATGGATATTACGCCGGCCGACCAATAAAACTTCAAGGGAACTTCCATCGACTTTAGGCTCGCCATTACTATACTTCGCATCATTTCATCGTCCAAGCGTAAAATTTCGTTCAATTTCTCGATTATTCGTTGCACTAGTCTTCTATGCATGTGGATTCGCACAACCACGAAGACCACCTCTAGGGTGATCGCGGCAGAGACCGAGCCGTCTTTCAGAGCTTTTGCTTTTGGTACGAGCATGCAACCGGGAATTAATATGATCATTTGTATCAACTCCAGTAGCCATATCAAGCTGCTGTAAATCTTCCAAAGTGTCGAAAACGATGATCCATCGATCCTCATCGGTAGCAGGTTCCCCGAGATCTTGTTCACCCGAACATTAAAAGGATTCGCACTTTCGAAGTCCATTTGGACAGCTCTTTTCTTTCCCTTTTTTTTACACTATGAGTTGTTTCGCAAAAGAAGAAGCAAGAGGGCAGAGACGGCACAAAACGTTTGTTTAAAACCTTGCATTTGCATTTAGCCCTTTTTCACGTACGCGGCCCCATCCTCGTGTTTGCTGCTGTCTGTTAATAAGGTGTACAGCATTTCCAACAGGGTGTACAATTACTCGTGGACTTTGAACGATTGATCGTGCTTCTCTCAAATACCCATTTCTTCTTTGTACCCTTCATTAATATATTATTTCACCATGCCAGACCCCGTATGACACGCCCTCCGCTTGCTTTGCGGCATTACTTGGGTGTAATTGCCGCGGTGACTCTTGTAATTTGTAACCGTTCTTGATTATATTCGTCAATATTATACAGTGGATTTCACAAAGGTTCTTTGTGTTGTATCAAGGAGGAACAAAACAGTTTAGGAGTAAATACCGCGAGAATAGACTACTATTTGTCATACAGCGTATTGCATTTGTTTTAAGGCGGAGGGCTGATACATCTCTGTAAAGCTGTTTGTAATTACTGACGAACAGCGAAAGGGCCATTATCTTATAGCGTATCGTTCGGTGTTCCAGTGCCTCAGAATCCATCAGAACTGCCGTATCTAATGCGCGTGTCATAGATGCAGTACAGCAACACGTGCTTGGACAAACTAATATTCGGTCTAAAGTGTCTTGGAACAGTATTATATTCTCGTTCCGAAGAGTCAAGGAACAATTGGACTTTCGTACATCATGAAATTCGTCTTATAGTGAGTGAACATTTATTTTTTCATTAAATCAATAATGTCAATCGAATTAACACTTACTACTTTGGATTTAATCATAAGAAAGCAATTTTCATATTATATTAATGTATTCGTATTAATGTAAAAAGAGAGGGGAACGAATTACAACAGGGAGTCCGGTTTTCCTATTAATAATTATTATCTATTGCGCTGAACATAATGACGATAAAGTAAAATCTAAAAACACCGTTCATGTAAATTAGACTAAAGATCAACAACAGTAATTTCTCCAGTGTGCAAATCATTCTAAAAAGCGTGCAATGCATATCGACAACTGTGCGGGTTATTTCGTTTGCTACAAAACATCTAAAAATAAAAATGGATTTAAGACAATCTGTAATGTATAAGATGTATATTGATGATAAAACATGTATATGTGCAATTTAAGCTGCAAAGTCGATGTTCATTTCAGAAGATTCCAACATTTTTTAAATAGATATCAGCTGTACACAATGTTTGGCTCGAAAGCTTCTTCGCGAAAATCTGAGAGAAAGAGAGAGAGAGAGAGAGAGAGAGAGAGAGAGAGAGAGAGAGAGAGAGAGAGAGAGAGGGAAAGGGAGAGGTAGTGATTAAAAACAACTATCGTATATTTATAAGAAAGAAATTATAAAAGGTAAAAAGGTACTGTTAACGTGTGCTAGCAAAATCAATTTTAATCGGAATTCATATCTATTGCAAAATATGTAGAATAATAATAACTTCTAAATCATTTAATAATTTTATCTTTTTATGTTTCGAAAAAACAGTCGTCATCTTTTTCCTGTGCCCATGATGTTCAGTAATGTTTTATTAGTTATAAATTTTCAAACATGGCAGGATATACAATTGAGCTAACAATTTTTCTATCGTCACTTTCAAATGGTCCTAAAGACCAGTAGAGCTATTGAATAGGACTGATTTAGAATCTAGAATGTTATTCAATAAATTAATAACAGACATTCCCTTCCGGACTTTATACTATAAATTATAACACACTAATCATATACACGTGCAGAAAACTTACCGCCATAAATGAGGGTAAAGATAAATTGAATTTCTCGAATGTGGCGAGTTTGCAGTCCAAGTTATTTGCCATTATCAGCAATAAAAACATACGTTTTACGGATGGTTCGTGCAGATACCATTTTTCGTGGAACGCTTTGTTCGTTATTTCGACGGCCTATATCACACAAAAATAGCAATGTTTATCTACTGGCATATTAGCATGTTCTTTCCTTTAGCAAGTAATACTCATAAAATTGTTTACCGCATCTAACAACTGTTGTACGCAAGAGCACAGTATATAGAGTTGCACTATTCCACCGCTCGCGTACATAATAATCAAAGATCCCTCTAACAGATTCGTCGACGGTACCTAAAGTTTCGTGAGTCAAATATAGATTATAAACAATAAACAAGAGGAATTTATACAGTAAAGTAAGAGCGTTACACCTTTGCCGCATCATATGTTAGCTATTTTCGTTATGAGAAAATTTTTGTAATTTATACTGAAAATTATTACTCACTGCCAGAATCATTATACCAATAAAGCAGAATCGAAAAACACTGTTGATATATAAGAAATTAAAATTTAAAGACAGTAGTTCTTTTAGCATGGACATTACACTGAAATAGAGCCCAAAAGATATACACATTGGAATCATATATTGTGCTAGAGGAAACTTTACCGCGTATAAAGACTGTATTTGTGTGACAATTAATAATTTGTGCGACAATAATCTATTTACATAATGTTACGCATATCACGATAAAATATTCCATACGTAACTTGCTGATAATTTATTAAGAATCAAAGCCTTCCAAGGCGAAGAAATGCAGAAATTCACAAAATTCTAATTTCTTCTCGGATTTTCAGCGAATGTACTTACCGAACGATAGTATTGTGATGTCGGCACACCGCTTTGATCTCCTTTTGCGCAGATAGATCGCTCGTTGAGTAGTTTTTATCGCCAATGGGATCGTTGCTATCACGTCGCGTAGTCTCATCTCGAAATATTACCGAGAGCTTCGACGCTATGTAACGATACTGTGCCGTTATAAGTAGTATGAGGTGTATCATGTAGCTGTCCACGGCGACCTTCTTTGTGAACATTAACACGCTGCTCGACATCACGATGAGACTACCTATCACGAAGGAGTCAGTGGATATTGGTTCTTTGCCATAGGCGACTGGCATTCTGTAATCCACGTAAGAAAAGGAATTTTTCTTGAAGATCATTAAAAGCGGTGTACCGCTCCACAGTACTATGGACATTACACCGGCCGACCAATAGAACTTCAACGGGATCTCCATCGATTTTAGACTCGCCGTTACGATATTTTGCATCATCTCATCGTCCAAGTACAGAATTTCGTTCACCCGTTGGATTATTCGTTGCACCAATCCTCTACGCATGTGGATTCGCGTAACCACAAAGAGCACTTCCAGAGTGACTGCGATAGCGACCACGCCGTCCTTCAGCGCTTTTCCTTTTGGTACAAGTATGCATCCGGGAAGTAATATCATCATTTCTGTCAACTCCAGTAGCCATATTAAGCTGCTGTAAATCTTCCAAAGTATCGGAAACGGTGATCCATCGATGGTCATCGGTAACAGGTTTCCCGAAATCTTGTTCACCAGGACATTGAAAGGATTCGCACTTTCGAAGTCCATTTGGACAGCTCTTTTCTTTCCTTTTTTTACACTGTGAGTCGTTTCGCAAAAAAAGGAGCAAGAGGGCAGAGACGGCACAAAGAGTTTGTTTAAAACTTTGCATTTGCATTTAGCCCTTTTTTCACGTACGCGGCTCCATCCTCGTGTTTGCTGCTGTCTGTTAATAAGGTCTACAGCATTTCCAACAGAGTGTACAATTACTCGTGAACTTTCAACGGTTAATCGTGCTTCTCTCAAATATCCATTTGTTCTTTGTACCCTTCATTAATATATTATTTTACCATGCCAGACCCCGTATGACACGCCCTCCGCTTGCTTTGCGGCATTACTTGGGTGTAATTGCCTCGGTGACTCTTGTAATTTGTAACCGTTCTTGATTATATTCGTCAATATTATACAGTGGATTTCACAAAGTCTTTGTGTTGTATCAAGGAGGAACAAAACAGTTTAGGAGTAAATACCGCGAGAATAGACTACTATTTGTCATACAGCGTATTGCATTTGTTTTGAGGCGTAGGGCCGATACATTCCTGTAAAGCTGTTTGTAATTACTGACGAACAGCGAATGGATAATTATCTTATAGCGCGTCGTTCGATGTTCCTCAGTGCCTCGGAATCCATCAGTACTGTCGTGTCTAATGCGCGCGTCACAGATGGAATACTGCACATGCGCTTGGACAAGCTAATATTTTTCTCAGTAAAGTGTCTTGAAACATATACAACATATAACATATAACAGTATTATAGTTTTGTTCCGTTGAGCCGAGGAACAATTGGACTTTCGTCTGTTACGAAATCCTTCTTAGAGTGAGTGAATATTTATCTTTTCGTTAAATCAACAATGTCAATTGAATTAACAACTACTACTATCGAACTTGATCATAATAAAAATAACGATACTTAGCACCGTGGAAAGTGATTTATGAATTTATAAATCTTTTATACATAACTTCTGTTTGGAGGATAGAAATAGCATGTATATTTGTTTAATATATATCTTGTCAATTTTTACAGAACTTTCAAAAACAACAGAGCGACGGAATACGATTGATTTAATATCTAAAAAGAACGTTGATATAATTCGGAGATAAGAGAGTGCGAATATGTAATTATATCGTTATAACGTATAAGCGATATATGATAAAGGGATACATGTAAAATCATCTTACCGTCATTAGCGAAGGTAAAGATAGATTGAACTTGCCGAACGTCGCTAGTTTGCATTCCATATTATTCGCCATTATCAAGAACATGAACGAACGTTTTATTGACGGGCCAAAACGGTACCAATCCTCGTGAAATGCTTCATCCGTCAGTGTTGTACTCTAAATTAAAGACGAGAGGACGAGATACGTGGAGATACGGAAACTCTTGATTCTAATTTGGAATTTAATACATTTGCAGCAGTGCAACCGTTTCTTTCGCTGCGGACGCGATACATATAGTAATTTACTTGCAATAGTTCAATGTAAAGGAGTATTTTACATTTGGGTTCTTGCCGTGAGTTTATGACGACTTGAGAATTATTTGTCCACTTTCTATTACAACAATTATAGGATATGCGTTACATAAAACTTACAGCGTCTAATAGTTGCTGTACACGCGAACACAGCGTGTAGAGCTGCACCATTGCGCCGGATGTATACACGAGGATCAAAAATCCTATTAAAACAGTCTGCGATGGTATCTAAAGTTTGATGAAAATATGTCGCTTATATTCAGTGCTGTATTCAGTGATAAATCGCGACAATTCGCGTGATTGCATCTCACATTCATTGTGTTCGAATCGTTTACGCAATTTATTTTCTAAAAGTAGTTTAGAACTGGCGCAAAATATCGGGACTGATTATTACGCGTGAGCAATGATTTTAATGCTGCCAAATCCATTGTTGGTGATATTTGTTCTTTCTTCCAAAACATAATACTTAACGTAAAAAAAAAAAGAAAGGGAAAAGAATTGTAACAATCAGTCTTGATGTTCCCTATTAATAATTATTACCTACTGTGCTGAACATAACGGCGATAAAGCAAAATCGAAAAACGCTGTTCACATAAATTAGACTGAAGATCAACGATAGCAATTTCTTCAACATAAACATCATTCTGGAAAGAAAAGGCGATACATATCAATAAATTTCTCATATATTTCGCACTACGTAGCTTATATTTAAAGTCGTCTTAAGCTCATCTTCAGACGCTGTGCGGGCCGTTTCATTGGCTACGAAGCTGAATCTGAAAATGAATTCAAGACGATTCGAAGTATATAAGATGTATAAAATATGTATATAGGTGCAATATAAGCTACAAAATCAATGTTCAAGAACATTCCAAAATTTTTAACGTGAAATTAAGTATCATCAGTACCCAATACAAAGTTCAAAGATCGTAAGCTTTTTCACGAAAATTTGCCAACACTTACTGAACGACGGCGTTGTGACGTCTACACAGCATCCTCATCTCCCTTCTCGCCCAATGATTCATCTTGCAACAAAATTCGTCGTCTCGTTCAAGATTTCCCCCGCGGAAAATCTCGGCGAGCTTGATCGCGATGTATCGATACTGCGCCGTCATCAGCAACACCAGGTGTATCATGTACACGTCCACGCTTACTTTCTTCGTGCAATTGTAAACAGTGCCGATGAGCACCACAAGGCTTCCCATGAGGAACGTGCTGGTGGAGAATGGTTGTCTTGAGAAGGCGACCGGCATGCTGTAGTCCTCGTAGGTAAAGACATTTTTCTTGAAGACCACCGCGATCGCTGTACCGTTCCAAAAGACTATCGCGAACACGGCGGTCGCCCAGTAGAACTTGAGCGGCCGGCTTGTAGGTCTCAGGGTACCCTGGACGATGTTCTTCATGATGTCATCGTCGGCGCCCAATATGTCATTTAGTTTATCGATCAGTCGCACCACTAGGTGTCTGTACATGTGAATCCGCGCAATAATGAAGAATAGCTCGGCGGAGACCGCGATAGTGGTGGTGCTGTCTATCAGAGCCTTCTCCGCCGGCACGTGCATCATCCCGAGGAACAGAGCAGCCAACTGGACCAGTTGAAGTAACCACACGAGTGCACCGTACATCCTCCAGGTCGCCGGGAACAACTCGTTGCCGACGGCCATCGGCAATATATTGCCCGAGATCGCGTTCAGCCGGACGTTTAGTGGATTTACGTTTTTAAAGTCCATGCTTTCTATAAAATGTAGTCGGATGTAATTGCCATTATTTGCGTAGCTCGGTACTTTAGTACAAAGAGAATTTGCGTGTGCGCCAACGCACACGTATTAATCTACCTCTCTGTTTTATGTTCTCGTCGTCATGCTTCTTCTCCTGCACGCAGAATCAAGCGGGTGACTTCCGCATTACTATTTGAAATTAGCTCACGTCCTTAGAAGTCGTCTTCGTTGATTTATTATTCCCATTGAACTCTTCGCGCCTTATTAATAATATACGTTTCCTGGAGACCCCGTCGACTCCGTCGATCTCGAACTTGTAATTGTTGCTGTGGTATTTTTTGAAATTCAAGTACTGCCGGCGATGTGCGCGTACTTTTATGTGGATGGGGTAACTCGAGAAAGATCCTACGCGATCCTTCATCGAAGGGGACACGGAGAAATTTTTAAACAAACGTCGCGGTACTCTGAAAAATGCTCGATTGAAGCTCTTGCATTCCATCCCACGAGCTTCCTTGCAATTACACCTGCGCTACGAAGTGGCTATTATCTTATGGAGCTCCACGTCCACGGTCATGAAAACCCGTAGAAGTCGCAGTAACGGACATTGTACGTTAATAGCTCGATCACCGTTAAACACGAAACTGGGTCAAATCGATGTCGACATATCGTAGACGTTGCATTCCGATAAATGGCACTGTTATTATCGTGAAATCTATGGGAACTGGCCGTCGAATGTATTGTCGAATTTACCGCTAATATACCTGGCAGATACAGAAGATGATTGCAGAATCAGAATCAAAATCGTATGGATACACGATAAAAAATGCGAAAGACAACAGCTACGCCGATAAAGCTGCAATGACAGCATTTTTGACACTCGAAATACGTCATTGATTTTTGCTTGTTATTTGTCGTGTGATAAGGGACGAAACAAGATACAAGAACATATTGTAAATTCTACGTCCCACATCGTCTTGTAAATATGGTCGAAATATATTTATTTTATTTTTATTTTCGACCATATTTAAATTTTATTATTTTATTATTCTTCAATTTTATCGCCAATAAATTCCCTACGTACTGCACTAATATCACTATTATACTAACTTTCAATCACTTATTCCAATCATATCGTATATCGTAACTTACTGGCGTTCGTACTGAAACAAAGTTGCGAGTGTTATAAAAATGAAATTTTACATAGTGATCATTAATTCCTATATTCAGTCTTAATAATAAGAATAATATTTACCGTATGAAAAATGTGCGTAACACGCATTCCTTACGTACTCTGTATTGTTTAATTAGTTTTTAAAAGCAAAAGAGCTATTGAATACGACTGATTTAGGATCTAGAATGCGCAAATTCGAAAATTTAAGTATATATCTTTGAGTGTAAATAAGCTATGATAAATACATGAAGTAAAAATAAAGCATAAAATCTCACCGCCATAAACGAAGGCAGAGACAGATTAAACTTTTCAAATCGCGACAATCTGCATTCTAAATTATTAGCCATTATCAGCATAACAAATATACGTTTTATGAACGTATCGTGTTTGTACCACTCCTCGTGGAAGGTTTTGTCTGTTATTTCGATACTCTGCATTAGATAGAAAATAACAGTACATTTCGAACGAGTAACGTAAATATGCTATTTGATGACGAGCATGTGCAAATATGCTTTTAAATGGAGTTGAATCCGAAATGAAGTCATGTATGGATCACAGGATGCTTACCGCATCTAATAACTGTTGTACGCAATAACACAATAAATAGAGTTGCACAACTCCACCACAGGCGTACAAGATAACCCCGGAGCCCTCCACAAAATCCATGGACGATACCTGAAGATTTACGAAGACACATCGAACATACACATATAATCGATAACACTGACAGTGCACGATACAATATAAAGACGATCACGCTTGTCGTCTACCGTTGAAAATCGCTTAAAAGATATCTATATTAAAGAATATAATTAATGTTAACAAAATAATTTTACTCACTACTAATATCATGAAAGCGATGCAGCAAAAACGAAAAACATTGTTTATGTATATTAAACTGAAGTTTAGCGATAGCAACTGTTTCAATATAAGCGTTACGCTGAAACAGATTGCACGATGTATATATATTTCAAGATAAAGCCAAATAAATGAATATCTCATTAGATTATTAATTACTATCAAGTTGAGGCAAAAAAACCTCTTTACTTGATCACTGTAGCATGTTTCTTATATAATTTGTTTATAATTTGTCATATTAAGAAAGAGAGAGAGAGAGAGAGAGAGAGAGAGAGAGAGAGAGAGAGAGAGAGAGAGATTGAATTTTTTCCAGAAAAAGATTTCCCAAACAATGTATATCATCAAGGATTAGTAGAAACTGCACTTACTAAAGCATGGTGTTGTGATGTCGGCACAATGATTTGACCTGCTCTTTTACGTATCGATCTATCTCAAAGTAACGTTCTTTTTCGACAGGTCCATTGAGATTATTCTCCGGACTTCTGTCTCTTATCACCAGCGACAACTTTAATGAGATGTATCGATACTGTGCCGTCACTAATAGTACTAAATTTATCATGTAGGTGTCCACGGCAATTTTCTTAGTGAAAATATACGCGCTGCTGATCGACACGATGAGACTTCCCACCACGAAGACTCCAGTGGAGAAGGGCTCTGTGCCGAAAGCGACCGGCATCTTGTAATCTAGGTAAACGAAGAGATCCTTTTGAAAGATCAACGCATACGGTGGACTACACCACAAGATTATGGACACTACGCCGGCCAACCAGCAGAACTTGAGGGGTTTATCCATTGACTTGATGGTCGTTCTTACGGTGTTCCGCATCAGCTCATCGTCCAAGAGCATGATGTCGTTCAGCCTATTGATCAACCTTTCTATCAGTCCTTTGCACAAGTGCAGTCGTATAACTATGAAGAACACCTCAAGCGTGATCGCGATACCAATCATGCCGTCTTTCAGAGCGTTCTGCATTGGCACTTGGAAGCAGCCGGGGATTAATATGCTCATTTGAATGATTTCCATAATCCATATCACGATAGCATATACCTGCCAATATATAGGAAACGACGACCCGTCAGCGGTCACCGGCAGCAGGTTGCCCGAGACCTTGTTCAATCGAACATTGAGAGGATTCACGCTTTGGAAGTTCATCGACATCGCTTTTCTTTGCTGCGCTGAATGCGTTCTGCGAAAGAGGACGCGTGACGAATGTATGATCGAATTGGTAAATTATTATAATAAGTCGAGAGAACTCGATTTTACTCCGCTTGTCGTTTTTACGCTATTTACACATTTAACGTGAATCGTAATTTTATGAGTCAATTTATTGGAATTCTATTGGTGTTCCTAAAATATGTTCAGAACGCCTGTAACTATTTTGTAATTACACCTTTTAGATTTTAAGCTGATATTCTCCGGTCCAAGTAGTCCAAGCGAAAATATTCCATCAGTTACTGTTCCGGAGAACACGAACTCCTCTGCGTGAAGTAAACAGTCAATTCCTAGCGCGAAGGGTGACTGTGAACGAAAACTTTATATTTGTATAATATTTATCTTTATCTGACATACGCATTCTATCAAATCCTGCGTTCGTCCTATTGACAGGAACATACTTTCACCAAGCTCGCGGACCTTGACTGGTTATAATTATTTCCATATGGGCGTATACTTCTTCGCTGATGCGTTAACCCATTCATTTTGCTGCAATTATCAGTACATGTCTAACAGTACATTTCTCACAGTTGTATCGTTCGTTGCATTTAGCATGGAGACGAGTGCAATTACAAAGCTCGTTATAATTAGTATCAGCTATAAGGAGGTCATTATCTTATAGCACGCCGTTCGGTCGAGCCGCAGTGTCTAACGTTGCTTGCTAACGCACATCATGGTTAGAATTTCACAGTACGCTTCGACGCTCCGATGTCACTCTATAAACATATTTTGAAGCAATTTTCTGCGTGCAAATTCACGACGCGAATTATACGTAAATTGTACATTGCAGGATCGTGCTTTAAGTGAGTGATCTTACTGTATCTTCGAAGAGGATGTTTGATTGGTCTTTTCGCGTGTATATCTCACATGCTACTATTTATACTTTGTATATAATTGTTGTTAAAATGTTTTATTTATCAGAAATCGGAATTCTCCCCTCTACGTTGGAGAGTATCATTATTGTGATTATATTTTGTAAATTTTACAGCGTGATAAACTATATTCATCTGATTATTTAATTTCATTAATAGTTTGAAGTATGTGCTGGTGTAGCTAGGTGACTAAAACGATTAAACAAGACGGTACGTGTACTTCTCCCTAATCTATTTTTATCTCACTCTCAGAAAAAGAAGAGCAATCGAGTACGAATTATTCAGAACCTGGAACGACACTTGAGAATTTGAGGATCAAAGGTACTTAATACGTAAATATACAGAGTATCAATATTGACATGTGAATAAATATTGCAAATCCAAAAGATATCTTTTTGTGACTAAGTCTTACCGTCATAAACGAAGGAAGAGACAGATTAAATTTTTCCAATGCCGCAAGTTTGCATTCTAAATTATTCGCCGCTATTATCGATAAGAACGTATGCTTCAACGACGGCTCGAATTGATACCATTTTTCGTGGAATGCCTCGTCTGTCACTTCTATACTCTAAATTTTACATGGAACGATTTTTAATCGAAGCGGAATTGTTTTCGTAATTGAATGAAGTTATAATGATCACATTATTTTCAAAGTTACAGAGGGACAGTCTTTTTTTCGCTTATTATTAATATATCTGACATGTAATTTAACATGTCGTTAAGAGAGTCGAATATTGCGGCGTTTACGAAAAATTTTGCCACGTTCGAAAATGTGAGAAATAAAATAATGCTGTAATGAAGTGTACCGCGTCTAATAATTGATGCGCGCATAAGCATAAAATGTAGAACTGCACCAGTCCGCCGCACATGTACGTAAAGATCATTAGTGCCTCCAGCGGAGCGGATGATACCTAAAAATACAGTTCTAACTTAAGACTATATCGAAAACGAATCTATCCGATTAATATCCGATATCCAATAAGCATTTCAGATAATATATATATATAGAATCTCATATATCGGCAATTTACCTGGACGATCTAAAATGAGTTTTCAGAGTGCTATTATACGAGTGAATTATTACTCACCGCTATCATCAGCATGATACCGTTAAAGCAGAAGCGGAAAACATTATTCAAATATATCAAACTCAAATTCACAGACAGCAGTTTCTTCAACAGCGGCGTCATGCTGAAAATAAGTGTGCAATCATGATTCCACTATCATAGATTGAGAAGAGGATGAGTTTAAGGGAAAAGTATCCGTGAAAATGTCCGAATACGTCAAATCAAACGACGAACCGGCAAATTGTTCGATTTAAAGAAAGACTTACTGAACTATAGCGTTGTGATGTTGACACAATATTCGCATTTCTGTTTCTAGCCACGTATTCGCATCAGAGTAACTTTTTCGAAACTCCTCGCGTTGATTTCGCGAAATATTCTTTCGAAATATCGTCGCGAGCCTCATCGCCACGTAACGATATTGAGCTGTCATTAGCAGTATGAGATTGATTGTGTATACATCTAGGGCGACTTTTCTCATAAAAATATACACACTAGTGACGGACACGACCAAGTTCCCCACTAGAAAGACGTTCATCGAAAACGGTTGCCTGGAGAAGGCTACCGGCACTCTGTAGTCCTCGTAATAGAAGTAGTTCCTCTTCAAGATCGGCACGAACGACATGCAGCACCATACTGTGACGGACAGAGACCCAGCTATCCAGTAGAACTTCAATGGCGCCTGCATCGGTCTCACAGTCGATCTCACGATGCTCTCCATAGTCTGGTCCGATACGCTCAAGATGTCGTTAAGCTGCCGGATCAGTCGTTTCACGAGATTTCTACGCGAGTGTATCCGTATGAACAGGAAGAACGCCTCCACACTGATCACCACCCCGACCGTCATGTCCTGCAAAATCTTTTCCTTTGACACGTACATGACCGCCGGAATTATCGCGCTGACCTGTACCACCTCGACCACCCACACCACGGCGCTGTATATCCTCCACGCTGTAGGAAACAGCAGGTCGTCGCCGGTCATCGGCAACAGATTGCCCGACAGCTTGTTTAGTCGAGCATTCAAAGGGTTCACGTTCTGGAAGTTCATGTTTGCGAGGACGCTCTTGCGCTAAAAACTCGACTTCTCCTTCTCGAATTAACTTCTTCCCCGAGTTGGAGGAAAATTCAAGCAACTGAATTTAACGATTTTGTGTATTAAACGGTCGCGTGACTCGAGCCTTTCAGCCTTTCAGCCCTCTTCTTAGCCTAAAAGAATACATGGGAGGCTTTTGTTGAAATTAGAAAGCCGTTCGCGATCAATCAATCTAACTGCTTATTATTTTCCTCAAGTTCTCCTACCTCTACTTCATTTTCTAATATAATATGCATTCGCGTGGGGGACGGACGGTGATATTTCGCTCCCCTCTTGCTCTAATTACTAGTGTTTGTTCTGCGATCGTCGCACGACCCTACAGCAAGCGCAATGATAATCAAACAATGTAGCGTGTGTACGAAAAGTCTTATGAAGGAATTTTCGTGTGATCTTGAATGCAACCTATGTGTGTGTGTGTGTGTGTGTGTTTCTGTTTACAGCGGGAACGGACGCGACTATAAGTTTCGCCTATAAGCAACACTTATCTTATGGTTCTCCTTTTCTGCTTGGTTGCAGGGTCGGGCAGATTCAATGGAAGTTGCAGCACTTGACTATATTCTCACTTTGAGAAGAGAAACGACGACAAGTTGATCGCGACAAGTTCAATCAGAATCGTACGTGCCAATATTATTTCATAAAGTGTCTCGAAAATATTTATTCACAAATCTATGGCAATGGAGTAAGTATCTTATAAGCATGTGTGTAAGAGAGACGTGTAAAATTGGTGATAACATTTTTATCGATTGGTTATTTCGTGGATTTCAAATCATGGATTTCAACTTGTGTGTATTATGAACCTCTTAAAAATATTACATTAATAAATTCGACGAAAACGCAGACCACCTTTCTTGCGACATTATGCAAATTAGGCATATTTGAGCGTCACGTTTTAAAATTGTATCTCTTAACTCTCTTTACCTCTTATAATTATTTATCATTAGATATATACATACACGACACAATTATTAATTACATGTTATCATTGATTGATGAAATATGGTCCAGTAGTCTTGTATCCGTCATATTTGAGACTCGTGTCTCTTGTCGTATTTAATTCGCTCTTAGAAACAAAAGTGCGATCGAATATGATTGATTCATGATCTAAAAGCATCGTTAGATTGAAATATTTTAATAATTTGGCAGGAAGGATTCCAAAAACTGCTAAACGATATCGCAATGTGAAACAACGGAGATATCGATTATGTATATCGATGTGTTTTACCGTCATGAAAGATGGCAAGGATAGATTGAACTTTTCAATCGCCGCAATTTTACATTCCAAATTATTGGTCATTATCAGCAACAGGAATATACGTTTTATCGATGAACCATACTGATACCAGTTTTCGTTAAATGCTGTATCTGTTATTTCCGTACTCTAAATTTGACATACATGATATATATGATAATAATTTAAAGTATATTCAATCTCTTTTTTATATCAATATATTTCTGGTGTTTTTGAGAAAAGAAATCCAAAGGTAATACGAAGAATCTTACCGCATCCGACAGTGTTTGTACGGAGAAACATAACAAGAAGAATTGCATTGCTGAACCGAATGCGAAAAGTAAAACGGATATTCCTTCCGATAAATTCATCGATGGTACCTGAAAATGTATGAGAACGTGTCGCTTGTCAGAGCTAAAGGAAAGAAATGTAAAAATTTCGCATCTTTCTCTTTGTAGAAAGTTACACTAAACCTTTCGATATTAATTAAAATGTTTCGCTAGAATAATTAGCGTTAACAATCGGTACTCACTGTACTCATCAGGATACTTATAAAGCAGAAGCGAAAGACACTGTTTACATACAGTAAACTGAAGTTCACAGACAGCAGTTTCTTTAACATAATCGATATGCTGCAACACAGCGCCAAAAATATGTTCGTAGAATGTACCGTATAAAAAAAGAAAACATATACCGTAGAAAATACGAACGACGCGTTCGGGAGTTATGTAAGACTTGAAAGTCGCTGCACTATTTTTTAATTCCATTTGAAATTAATCGAATCAGCCGGATTTTGTTTTGTTGATCCGATTGACCGAAAGCAAATCTCTTCCCGCTGTTTAATATCTGTTTTTATGTCTCAAGTGCCATTTGTATTACTTAATATCGATTCCGAACCGTGATCGCACTGTGCTTACCGTAAAACCGTGTTATGATGCTGACACAACGCCCTCAGTTCTCTTTTCGTCCGCCAATCCGCCTTCAAATGAAATCTTTTGTCGCACAATCCATCCACGCGATTGTCTCCCTGCAAATCTCGGAATAACAGCGTTAGTTTCCTCCCTATGTATCGATACTGCACGGTCAATATCAGCACTATATGCATCATGTACACGTCCACGCCGAACTTCTTCAGGAACAGGAACACACTGCCGATTGTCATGACGACGCTGGACGCGATTAGCACGCCACGCGAGAACGGCTCGCTGGTGAATGCCGCCGGTAGATTGTAATCCACGTAAAAGAAGGCACCCTTATCGAAGGCTATCGTAACCGGCTGTACAGTCCATATGGTGATGGTCGTCACGCTTACCAGACAGTACACCGTAAACATTTTCGTTATCGGACTCAGGGTCGACCTCACGAGGTCCTTCATTGTCTCGTCCGCTTCGCGCAGGATGCTGTCCAGCGTGTCGACCACTCGGCTCAACAGCTTCCTGCGTGCGTAAAGCCGTGAAAGCATGAAGGATGCTTCCATCAGGACCACGACGCACACGGTGCCATCGTTCAGAGCTTTCTCTCGCGGCACTAGAATGAGCCCGAAGACGAGGGCGACCGTGTGAATCAGTTCGATCAGCCAAATGACGACGTTGTGCACGCGCCAGCTTAGCGGAAATTTCGAGTCGCTGTCTTCTATCGGTAGCAGATTGCCCGACAGCAGGTTCACTCGGTTGTTCAAAGAATTCGCGTTCCTGAAATTCATACTGACGACGCGCGGTTCAACTCGCGTTGCACAGAAAATTGAGCTCGGTGAGCGGTGAGCTTTTAAACACGGTCGAGGCTTCGACTGTGTACTCGTGTGCTTGTATCAATTTCGGATTCTCGCAGAATGAGCCTGTCTTCGTGAACGTTGCTTCTTGCTACAAGCGGAAGTGAAGCGGCTTCTCTATGATTAGGGGCTTTTAGTCAATTTCTTATGATTGGGCACTTTTAGACAATTTCTAGTTTGATGATTCGCCGTTTCCCTTCCCGACTCACATTAATACATCCACGTTTGTTCTCTGTGATCAAGTATACCAAAGAACAAAGTATGCGTCTGAGTGGGCTGTAATTCTGAAAACTAAGACCGTGTTAATAAGTATGTTGCGATATTTATGATAATTCACAAAACGCAGCGCGTATTTATGCTTTCTATTTAGTTTATCGAGGGGACAGATGCGATCGTCAGCTCTTTATCAGTAATTAGATCTATGCTATGTGAGGCGATAATTATCTTATAGCGCACCGTTGAACAACGTAGAGCCGCGAAATGCGGAGCCGCAGTATTCCAACGGGAAGGTAAATATTTCGGTAGTTTGCAAAATTCAAAAGAAGAGCCATAAGTTTCTCATCTTAATAAGATCTTGATATCCTTTGATCTTCGACACCTTCGACGTCGACGAGAAAGATGATCTTTATTATATGCAAAACTTTGTATATGTTATATACATTAGGGCCGATGATGTGACTCCAGAATTCTCAGTGTCAACACAGAACAGACAGTGTCAACCTAGAACATCTTATCGACTAATGCAGTCGACGAATGCATGAACGCACGACCGCGCAAATTTGCCATAATAAATTGCACATCTCACGTCTTCTGCGAAAACGATGTAACAAGTGACATCGTGCAGCCGTAACACACGCGCGTACACATGCGCGCGTTGCAAACGCGCCGGATAAGAACCCTAAAAGTTCTCGCTCGACTGCAACAGTCTGACTAGTATGACACTGAGTATACTCGAGACTACACTCGAAGTAAACGAAGACGTCCCGGAATATCCCTCCAGGCGATGGTACACCTTCCTATCGCCGAGATCCTGAACGGGTCTGTAAGTGGAGTTCAGAGCGTACTCGCCGGACATGACGCGTTTAAACACCTTCACCTGTGCGCAGATACGAGCGACTTAAATCGTGGAAAGAAAACTTTTACGAAAAAGAAGCTGAATTGTATTTCCTCTTTGCTTATAAGACAAGCAACGTTTTTCTAGAATTAACGAGAAAGCTTTGTCGATATTTGTCTATATTTGTCCCCCCACCTGAGATTCCGACACCGTGAGTCTTTCGGTCATGACGAACCATATGACGGACTCTTGACATCCCGGAGTGGTCAAGGATCCCTGATAACGGTAATACGTCGTGTGGTCCTTCGGCAACAACAGATAGGGTATCAGTTCCTTTTTTATTGAAATCATGGTCTTTCCCACCCAGTGCGACACCATGTTCGTTGCCTTCAGGATCACTGACAGGTCCGGGTTCTCTTCGTTGCTCAACTACAACGGAGATAACTATAACGTCAACGTCGTTTGTTTCAACGTGGGACGACACGCTCGCATGAGTGTTAACGCGACTCCCACCTCGAACAACACGGCGATCACCACGACACCGTTCTCGTGTTCCGCGGCTACGCTGAAATTCGCGTACTGATTATCGTAATGCACGAAATGCAATTCCAGCGGGTGACGAAAACCGTCCACGGTGTGCTCAGCACTCCAGTGAAAATGCATCTGCTGCAGGACATATACCGACGGCAGGCTGCCGCCGCTCAGGTGAACCGGCACTCCGTCCAAGTCAATTTGCACTGTTTTGTTTGTACGCGATTCGTTAGAAAAATACTTTTGTCGTTCTTGAGGAGAAAACATTATATCGAAGTATATTATATATCTGTAGGTGATTTCAAGATAAATATTCATTCGTCAAAAATATCCGTTCGAATAAATGATCAACGCGGTTTCTTTTTTCTTTCTTGTAATTTTTCCTTCAGGAAATATCCCGAGGAAACGAATCTCTGCGATCTCGAGCGTCGGTTGTGAATCGATCCTACAGTCGAAAATTATTTCGTTCAAATATAACCCGAAACTAAGCAGGGCTTACCGGAATGGCCGGTGTTGGTTATCCAGCCGGAAAACGCGAAGTCGTACCGGTCGAATTTCAGTGCACCGAGATCAAGTCTTATAGCATCTTCCGTTACAATATCGATCGGCGACTGCTTTTTTCCTGTCGTGCATATTCCGGGCCAGTTTTTTGGTCCTGTGAAATTGTTTCAGAAATTCGCTAATCCGATTGCGAGTAGAGCAATCTTACAAAGTGGTGACAAATAAATGTACCGCTACTGTTAGATCTTGCAAGTTGTTGACAGAAAAAGGTACTGTCTTATTTATGATAATTTTGCGATGTTCAATATTCTCTTTCTTTCTTTTCTTAGAGAGGACGTCAAATATCTCGCCCTTTGAATCGCAACTTTGAATTTCCTGCCTACGTGTAAGATACAGATTCTTTGCCATTTTTTGTGTTATACCTTTGATATTTTGGCGAGCTTTCGCAAATTTGTTTAAGCCAACATTTTCCAACGGGATCAGATATTCGTATGTACGATGACCAAACAACGCGGTTATTTAAACCGCGATAAAGATTCTTTTGTTTCGCCGATATATACCGACTCTGCTCTCTAAATACCTTCAACTGTCAGTCAAGGCCGAGGTTATTAGATCGCTAATGGCCTCGCGTGTAAGTTTCATACAAGCTCGTTGAAGAGAATGTACTTATCGCTTATCACGAGTGAAGTATCCAGCTTGAAATCGAGAGCGAGACTGTGCGAACAGTCTTATCCGCTTTGTTATCTATCGACACTCGTATCTTTTGACTTGCAAAAATATCTATCGGGGGGAAAAGTATCGTCATTAAGCGGAAATAATTACGAATTACACGTTTCCGATAAAGTCCCTTTCCTGTGTGTGTTGTCTTAAGTATGTTTACTTATGTGCGTATTAACTCTATCGTTAATTATCGCAATTATCATATTTACCCAAGTATCCCCAGTATCCCCAGTCACTCGCTTTCGATATCTGTAGCCCTGCAAATGAAACACGCACATATAATGTTTATTGTTCGTATGTTGCGCAAGGTAAAAAACATGCGATTATTATTATTCTGAGCCGTTACGCGAACACCTCTATGCGGCTTACCCACTTGACCCACTTGACCCATTTACACGTGACACGACACCGTTAGGCGCGAAAATTCGTCTGCGCGATATTTCGCGGACATCACGCGCGCTGCGTCGCCGACCGGTGTCGTCCACCACGTCCTTGCGGTATTAATTTGACGAGAACTTGCACGAACGGCCAATAAAATAATTACTTCCACGCCAGCGTGCGCTCGCGCTCGCGCTCGCGCTCGCGAGCACGTTCGGTCGGCTCTCTCCAGTGGGCTCGATCAGTAATTGAACGCGCGCGACAGGAAACAGAATTGACCTCATTGACCGCGCGCGTCCCAGCGAATTCGCGTTCACACTTGTTTCCAATTCCGTAGCGCGATCTTGCGAGGAAAAGCCCTGCTGTCGCTTCCCGCGCCCTCGTCGTCGCTGTTGTCGTCGCCGTCGACAACTGGATCATAATCGGTGGATAAACGTCGCGGCGCTTTCTGTATCAGCGTGCCGCAACAACGGCCGAATTGCTCAAATGACACGCAGATTTTAACGAGCATAATGCACACTTCCGCTACAGGGACAGCGAGCGACAGCGGCTGATCTCTGATCGACACGCGGATTTCGTCCGTGCTTGAGGAGGATACTTCAGATCGTAATGAATAGATCTCGGCGTGTCGTGCACTCTCTCATGGTATGTGAGGGAAGGATCGAGCATCAAGGAGAGAAGAAAGATGAAAGGGGAGAAGAAGATGAGGGAGAGTCCGAGCTCTTTTCGTATTTTACTACGAGTTGCTTTTGCTTTTGTTTAACAGATACCGTTGTATTACAATAGGGAAAGAGAGGGAGGGAGACAGACAGACAGACAGAGAGAGAGAGAGAGAGGGGGAGAGAGAGAGAGAGAGAGAGAGCAGATTGAAAAAAAATGGAACAATTCACTGATCGGAATGTCATACATATGTATGTACACATTTGCACTTTGTTCTCGCGTGCTTGAATAGGCAAACGAGAAAAGAAAGGAACAGAAAATGAAAGCCCACGAAATACGCGCGTGAGAAAATGAACGAAATGGAAGCGGCGCGAGTTTAGACAAATAAAAGTGCGTGCAGCCCGAGAGATCGTAGCGGGAAGGCCGGTACGCCGGGGATCGCCGAGGAGAGAGCGCGAAATTTCTGTTTCTGCTCGGAATTCGGCGATTATTCAAATAAATTACTACGGAGCGAACGTACCTCCATAAATTGCGGGAGCAGGTGGGAAAGGAGCAAAACCGCACTACTCACGTGACTCGGCGCAAACCGGCACTAAGCGCACTCTCAACTCAAATTTTCGACGACTCGCACAAATCAGCGCGATAATCGCGACCGATCAAACGGAGACTCGGGTGCGTCTCGCGTTTCTTAAACAATTTCCCGTATGGATCGAAGCCTGTGTGAGGATTTTCTTTTCTTCACCTTTGCACCGACTTTGTTCTCGTGCGAACGACTCGACGGGCAAAGAGACTGTACGGTAATCGCGGCGGCAATGAGCTATCAACCGAGTGAAGCACACGAAGAGTCCTTACCTAGAAGAGCGAAGCAAATCAAGCGGAGGAGTTGCATCGCGGGGAGCCACCTAGGAAGGGACGATTGCGATGGATGACACACGAGCGCGATGACGACGGGCATGCGACTGGTGAATCCCGACGTAAATCTAACCGAATAACCCCGAGTGATTACACGAGGAACTATCGCGCGAGATTTAACGTGCACGCATCGCAGCGTGGCAGGACGCCGCATCGTTGCGATAGCGTAACGAGATAGCGGAGAAGGTCCGCTCCGGCCGGGTCCGTACTGGTCACTACGGTTGATCGGCTTATCGGCACCGGAGCGATTGAGAAATAACACTTTCTTGACATCCATGCTTAATTTATCCGTGTATGAACACACATTGATAAGAGAGTCGAGAAGAATGTTTATTTGCAAACGTGTTGCATCATGTCGTCGCTGAACGTTGCCCGCGCGAACTGGGACGACGACACTGAACGCTTGAAGTTGAATTTCCAATTTTAAATATAGATTCGTGCTTTGCGTATTGTTTGGTCGTTTATTGGTCGATCGTGCGAAACTTTCGTGAGTAAACGCAGCTGTAGTTATTGTTACACTCGCCCAAAAAATAAATAATTGTGTCATTTCCGCAGGAACTTTCCTGTACGAGCTATATTCGTGCAAACAAAAGAAATTTACGACACAATGCGAGCTCTATGTCGTACATTCTTATTATTCCACAAATATTTTGAAATAAGATATATCGAAAAATGAAAAGTCTAAAATAAATGAAGTTTTTGTCACATTCTCAGAAAAATCAAATTTTCTGAAAATTAATTTTTTTGAATGAATTTCATAATACGCGAGAAAGAAACGCAAGAGATCTGTCACTGACACGGAAAAATTTAACACAGAAAATTCCAGAAAATTCCAGAGAATATCAACATGCCGGAATTTCAAGAATTTAACTGACGGAAAATGTGGAAAAGTGAAAGTCCTGAAGGAGGACGGCAACGACCCGATTAAAAAGAAGCCTGAGTATTATGGAGGAATATCGAGGTGCACTTTACCTGTGCAAAGCAACGTTAATGTAGCCAGCAGCGAGATATCTAAACCAAATTTCACACGTGATACGCATGGTGTCATTTTATCGAGATGCAACTTGAACGACGATCGCCGTCCGACTGACCATGCCGACATGGCAAATTTCTCGAGGAGACGCTGAGGACGTAACCAACCCCCGGACCCCAGCGAAACTGCACTCTCGATCAATCGATCTGAGAGGCGTGCTTCCCCGATCGACATCGACGACATCCGCCGACTCGCCGATCCGAGTCCACGCTCGAGCGAATTTGATATTCTTTTGACAAAAACTGATACAAAGTGATAGAAAGAAATAAAGAACTTTCGCGAAAATTATATACTTTTGAAATGGGGAGGATCTTCACTTGTCCTCCCCTCAAACTCTCCGTTCCGTTCCGTTTCTTCGCTCGGATTCACAATGTTCGACGAAAAGACTCGATCATGATAACATTATGTAACGAATGATCCGAAGTAATCGAACGTGAAATGTTGGAACGCTTGGAACACCAAACGTCGGGGTGTCTCTCGAACGCGTGGCTCGGGAACGTTCGAATTACCAAGGAGTTCAGATATTTTTAGAGGTCTACGGGCTTACGGGCGAAATGCTTCTCGTGGACACATTCGTGTCCTGCTTCTCGTCATGCTTAATGGATCAGAAGCAATATGCATCATGCATCATCGTGATCATATATTAGGGCTCTTCAAAATCCGAAGCTACAATGTTCCTCTCTTTCGTCGTTGAGTAAATCCTCTGAGCATACGGTCTTCGTGAAAAGAGCGAAGAGCAAATCCTAACGACTGAGAAGATCTGAGAGACTTTCACGTTTAAATTTTTGCACTCCAATGGAATCGGGTTTGCCACAATTTATGCCAAGAGTTCCTTATTATTGTTTTGGCCAAGTCCGTGTCTTGAGTGCGCCAAAATGCATATTTCCATGAAGTATCTCGTTTATCTTCGGAGAACAAACACATGGCATCTCTTCACACAAGCGACGATCACCTCGCGAGTGTCAGCGTTAAAGTTTATTCTAACGAAATTTCCATAAGTCCATGTAAGCTGGCACTCGCGTTAATATCAAAGCGAAAGCAAAAGCATGTCGGTACGCGGGGAACAATATTAAATTTACGTCTAGTTACCGTATATGTAACTTCGTAAAAAGAAAGTCAATTTGACAAAGGGGAACTCTCCCCCATTCACGATGCTGATTTGAATGCTGGTAACGATGACACATCGCATTAAAGCTGTACTCACACACACACACACACACACACACACACAATCCTGCTTTGCAATGCTCTCATAACGCCGGTCTTATTATAACCCTTTGTGAGGTATTTCCGTTTGTGATTAAAGAACCTTTTCATCGGCATCGCAGTGCGGAATGTTATTTGGCAACGTTACCGCCGTATGTAACTATTTCAAGTCCAACACAAATGCGTGCGTTCTCACGAATTCAGCCAGCTAACGTTCGTAGACGTTTCGGTAAAAATAGTAAAATTCATGGAGTCCATTTACGATTAACCGTTTCGTAGCGAAGCTATTCTTTCACCGAACGATCGTCGTCGTTGTCGTCGTCGACGAAAAAGAGAGAGAGAGAGAGAGAGAGAGAGAGAGAGAGAGAGAGAGAGAGAGAGAGAGGCGTAAGCCGCGTCCGGAATGAAAATAGTCTGGTCAGAGTAATACGGTGCGCGGTAACATAGATTTACAATTTATGCGAGCCCAAATAGTCCAGTATATCCACGCAGCACCCTTAATTCCAATTCGAAAACTCCAGTCCATCATAACTGTGGCTTACTTAACGGTGATGGATAATTTATTGAATTTAATCCCGAATAGTCAAGAGCTACATCGGCTTTCAGTTTGTTCAGTCATATTTTCTTCGTATAAAAGCCCAACGATAAATCTCGAGCCACGAGCGTCGGCGCGGGCCGCGAGTCAGAGTAGAGTGGTCCACGAAAACGTAGCGTGGTAGTAGGGGTTCCGTTCCACACGAATCAACAAAAGAAGAAGAGAGGGATAAACCGAGGCGTGTGTGTGTGTGTGTACACGGTAGAGCGGAATCCCGAAGGAGGAAACGAGAAGGATAGCGCCGACGCGCGTAGAGGGGCGTCCCGCGAGCCAGAAATAGAAATAGAAAAGCCGAGAGTTGCCGCCAAGTATCACAGCACCAAGGTGCTGCTAGTGTTCTCCATGTGCGTCTCTTGGTCGTTGATTCGCCTCGCGACTGCCGCGGCCACGTTGGCAGTTTGCGTCGGAACATGCCGCGCTCCGGCGTCCCGATGATGAGGTCCTCCCTGAGGAGCCGAGACTCGTCCTCGACGTCGACCGGCGTCGATCCGCGGGAGCGCATCAAGGACTGTTGTCGCAAGCTAGTGGCTTTCATGTGCACCCAAGTGGGCGTGGGAGGATTGGTCGTGGGCTACGCGATCGTGGGTGCTTTCGGTTTCATGATGATCGAGACTCTGGAGGAGCCGGCGGTGGTATGCGTGCGCGAGTCCATCCGCAGGGATTACGCGGAGGAGCTGTGGCTCGGCACCGCTAGTAATCAATCGGTCAACGTGTTCAACCGCACCGCCTTCTGCGAGGTGTCCAACAGCATCCTGCTGCGCTACCAGGAGAACATCACCATCAACGAGCGCAACAAGGTCAACTGCAGCGGCCTCAAGACCGTCGACCTGTGGTCGTTCCCGGCGGCGTTGATGTTTTGCCTGTCGGTCTTCACGATGATCGGCTACGGTAGCCTGGTGCCGAAGACCCAGTGGGGCAAAGGCGCCACTGTGGTCTACGCGGTCCTCGGTATTCCACTCTACGTGCTCTACTTCCTCAACATGGGCAAGGTACTCGCGCAAGCTTTCCGTTGGCTGTACACCCGGCTGCACGAGTGCACCGGCCAGAGGAAACCCGGGCAGAGAATCACCGTACCGTCGACCGCTTGCCTCTGGGTGATATTCGGCTATATTCTCGCCGGTTCGATCATGTTCGCCGAATGGGAGGACTGGGACTATTTGGACAGCGCTTACTTTTGCGTCACGTCGCTCTGCAAGATCGGCATGGGGGACTTGGTGCCCGGTTGGAAACAAGGCGGCTCCACGCAGAGCAACCAGACCAAACTCATCATCAACTTTGTCTATCTGTTGCTGGGAATGGGTCTGATCGCCATGTGCTACATTCTGATGAGGGAGGACGTATATGTGAAAGCTCGGGAGCTCAAAGCACAGTTGAACCACGCGATGGACGCAGCTCACTATAAGATGGTGACGTGTTGTAGGTCAGAACCTACGGATTGAGGGATCGTGGGAGAGAGTCGTGCTACGGTGCACCGTAGAAACGTAGAAACGAAGAATATACTTTGCGTACTAGTCGTAAGGACAAGTCGTAAGGACAGATCGTAAGAGCCGCTATGAATCATAGCCAGCCGGTTTTTAATCAAAGTGCCGGTTGCTGGCGGCCGGTGGGAAATGTTGAGATAAATTGTATAAAAATAGGAAAGCAAACCGATATCGTCGATATCAGAGAGATGGGAATCGATCAGTACAAACATTCTCGTAGATGCTGATTACCAACGATTGGATGTTGCTGATTTTACGTTTACGTATGTTATAGCTTACAGTCCGTAGCTTCTTATTGCCACGCATTTAATATCATCGCGATAGTAATTTCTAATTCTAATTTTAGAAACGCTACGAAGAAAGCGTCATCTGCGAGAATAGTTGGCAGTCTACAAGGATGAGTGGAGAAATTATGGAGTAAAAGAGCCGTAACACTCTGTCCAGTTAATCAATCACAAAATCCATAATCTCTCGCATTTGAAATATCTTTGCGTTGCGTTGCATCGCTGTACGAGACAAAACAACGTCTGCTCCTTACGTTTCATTTACGCATGAATTTGTTCGAAGACGACGGCAATTTATGGAGCTGCCGGTGAGGTGTTTGTCACGGAGAACGGACATGGACTCGAGTGTTACACAACGCCAGATATATTGATCCGATGGGACATGTCAACCGCGAAATAATCCGGCCGCTTCCGATTACTGAGGACGTACACAGTTGCTGTCTTCTAATTTATCGATTATGATAATGTCTAGCCCAGTGAATTAATGAGCCTACAATGCGTATCGCTGAGAAAGATTGCGCAAACACACACGTAGATAAGGATTTCGTGCATCATCACACACATTCCACAAAAAATTATTTGTATAATATGTATACGATCGCACGGGAATAAAATTGCGCTATTCGCCGATGAGTGAAATCTACTTTTTCATTTCAAGACACGTATTTGTCTTTCTCTTCCTTGTTCACTTATCACAAACGTGTCTTTTGTTTTAGTAAGAATAATTTTCAGAATGAAATCTATGCTGCCTGAATCAATTATATTCAATCTAATCTAAATTGTATTGATTTTTTCTACTCTCACGTACATGCGCATCCGCTTGTAAAGGTGATCGCAAGGTTCTTCGATACAATTTGGCCGGAAGACAAGTAGAAATATAGCGTCGACGAGACATCAATTTTGTCGACTTTAGCCGGGTAAAATTAGACGCGTTTAATCTTCGGGGCAATGTACTATTTAGCGTGCTGTACGCTTACATCGTATACATCCGTATCTGCTTTGAAATAATAATCCAGTACGATCACAGAAATAACCCAGTCTGAAGCTCTTACGATTCTCACGTGCCATTTCGATTTTACTGCGAACTGCGAAACCGTCTCTATTATACCGACCAAAATTTCTATCTTTTTTCTATATTTTAGGTCTTGTCTTATTTATATTTTGGATAAAAATGAAAGGTTCATTTACGATATATATATATATATATATATTTCTTGCTATTGTGTAAAACTTATTGGATAGATTTGAAGTTAACGTATAACTTATGACGATATGTAAATGGGGAATTTTTCTTTGTACAGATAATTGGAGATTTTATACGACTGATTGTATAAACAATTGTTTGACAAAGGTACAAGACATGACGCTATAATGTTTTTGTGGTTGCACAACACAGCTAGCAACTATATTTCATTCGGTAAGAGTGCGACTTGCTGAGGTATAACGTGCACAGGATTTTCTATATTATCTGCACTCAGTAAGGTAAAACAACGTATCGAAAAATAAGTACATTCTTTTGTAGATGTACAACATACCATGATAATAATAATTTGGCTTTAAATTTTTATTTGGCCTGTTCATGAAGTATTTCTTAGAAAGAGCTACAAAGATGAGCAATATACATTACATATACGATAGCAATATACAATCAATAAATTGATATTCGATTCTTTTTTCCTCTTTCTTGTTAAAAGGTTACTTTCATCTCTGATATTTTAAAATTCAATTAACTTCCGTGTGTCGGATAGGTTTTTAATTCAATGTTCGTTAACTTTATGACTAAATTTTACAGAGTTAATTTTTACCCGACTTGTACGACACCGCTAGATGGTACCAGGTGGTACGTTCAGTTGCGTTTCAACGAGTTTAGAGGACCATCCGGCTGTTGTAATTTCAAAGTCTTCGTTACCAACCGCCACTGTTCCCACTGACAAATCGAAGTTATCGAAGCAACGTGGGACAAAGTACTTTTAATTCTTAAAATAATATGGTTCGCACAATGACAAGTCGGTAAGAGCTATACATTAAGTATATTTCGTTAATACTAAATTATTACATATATTTTAAATAATTATGAAAAAGAAACAAAATTCATCGATTGCTTTCAATGATTTTCATAATTGGCCATTAATTAGAAATCGACTTTTCTTGTTTAATAAAACTTATCTCTGCCAAGTGTGCTTATATATCGTCGCAAAAGTGAACAATTTTTCGACGTAACAAAAGCTAACACACAGACTGATGAAATCAAGCAAAAGATTTCAAAACAAATCTCCAAATGGAAGGATTCGGCATCCGTAAATCTTTTGGTACACAAATTGCAATAGAATCATACGTGCTTTTAATGGAGCAATTTACGCGATAAAAAATGTAACTTTTGAGGATTGAAAAACGAAGCTCTCTCTCTCTCTCTCTCTCTCTCTCTCTCTCTCTCTCTCTCTCTCTCTCTCCTTTTCACTTCAAAGAAAATAGCTACAAGTGTTTTATTAGAAAAACGGTAAAGTGCTTTCGCGTGATGAAATAACGAGTCGCACGGAAATGTTTTACAAGAAAGAACATTCATAATTCATAAACTCTAACGAGAAAGAGGGATAGAAGCTGTGCATACGGACCGCACAAATTGCAAAAAGCGGTGTTTTTAATCGGCCGTGCTATGCTAATTTACTTAAACTTTTAAATGCGGTTAAACAACTAATGGAATTTAAAACAAGTCACGTTAGCGGTCGTTGTAATTCGAATGAGGACGATGCATTTTACGAATCGATTAAACGCGGATAACGGTGGAACGGAAATCGTTAAGTTTTCAACGTAATTGAAATTATTTTCTTGAATAGGAAGCTAATTGGAGTAGAATTTGGCTTATTATTACTATTGTCATTATTATATGACCGATTCATTTTCCATCATGTTAATTTAATATCTCGTTATATCTCGACATATTATTCATATAAAAATATTCGATAATTTTATTATTTTTCTCTTGATTTAAAGTTAACAAATCGTGATAGGTTAAAAGAAAAACGCGAGGGCCTTATTTTTAGAAGGATACCAATGACGATCGAATCAAGGCCTGTGCCTGGCGTTCTTGTGGAAAATTCACTGGGGAATTAGCACGGCCGACAACGCTTGGCACTGTCGTTGAATTGTTGAAATTTGCAATGGTGGTCCTCACAGACGTCCGAGCTTACTGGCGCAATTTGCCGAGTCGCTTTCGCTTGGCATCTGAATGCGAGAGGAGACTGCAGTCCTCCAGGATTGCCGAATCACTGCGGAGTCGTTGTTTCTCTTCCCAGCCGTTTGTCTCGCTCGCTATATGCACGTGATTACGTGCTCATACACGAGGCTGAGTACATGTGGAGGAGAACCCTAGCCAGGTGATATCAGCAAAATGGACAGTCGGGACCGTTCGATTAAGTATTCCTTTCTCGCGATTCGCGAGAAAGAAAAGCAGAGATATTACGTATTATCCCCCTCTAAGCTTCTTCTCCTCCCTTTCCTTCGCGTTAACTTTCGTCTTTTTCGCGCGTAACGTAATGAGATTATCTCTTTTTAAATTGAACTTTAAGCCGGGAGTAACTGTGTAATAATCGCGTTACTATTTGATTCGAGATTATCGTTCGATCGAATTTGAAAATCTCTTCGCGGCAATAAAAAGAAGGCAGAAGGTTCCCAAATTTTCGTCAGTTGAATTTTAATGATCTGCGATCGGGTTTTCAAAGCTCGACTTAATCAAGCGCGCTTGCTTGATTTTACGCCGGATGCAAAATAAATTTAATTAAACTGTCGATTGCGCGCGCCAAATGTTTGTGTAATCGTTCCTCCGTTGAATTGAATTTATCTAGCTGTGAACTCGGCGGCGCGCTTGACATTTTCCGCGAAAACATTAATGTTACATTAAGGTTCTTGACACCGAAAAAACAATCGCTCAGAGATGCTCAGAGGTTGCTGCATCAATGGATTACCAATGGTCGCGCGACGACAAGAATGACAAGATGAAACTAGACGAGACGCGAGTTGAGTACCGCTGATCGACGACGATCGACGATCGCGGTGATGGCAAAGAAATATGTTTGTATTAAAATATTCGCCGGAACATATATTGACGGGGATATTTTCTTCTTTACCAGAGTTCCAGAGGCAAACACCTGAATCAACATCGTATGAAGTACGCTTTCTCACGGCAGCAATTCGCATCTCGCTGAGGCCACTGTTGACTCTGACAGATCTCTGACGCCCGAAAGAGCCGTCAGAGAGAACTCGAAAGTTTCGGGGAAGATTCTACTTGCGAAACAAAGCTAACTTCTCACGCGCACGAAGACTATTGATAACGACTACGGCTACGGCTACGGCTACGACGACGATGACGAAATCTGGCACGCGTGCGAAAATGACAAGTCGATCGTGACAAAATTTACAGAAATAACTATTCAAAGTCATAATTAACGGTAACGGGCAGTATAAATTCCCACTAAGGTTTGTAAGTTTGTAAAGTTGCACAAAATTGTCATTCGATGTATACTTTGCGCCATCGATAAGTTAAGATAAAATAGAATAAATTAAAATAAAATAAAATAAAATAAAATTTTTCTTCAATTAAGATAATCGACGAGTTTTAATCATTATCGAGGCTTAGCGGAGTATTGTGAATTATGATATACTTTGGAATCCTCTCTTTTTCTCTCTCCTTCTCTTTCTCTCTCATAATAATAAAAGGGATGTATCGTCTCTGGTCTTCTCCGTAGCCACGGACAGAGACGCAGACAAAGAGAGCGGCGGGAGAGAGAGAGAGAGAGAGAGAGAGAGAGAGAGAGAGGTTTGGAAATTCTATAGCGATAACTCGATTTAAACTGAGAATCAACTCCTGCCGCTGAAACATCGCGAACTGCGTCGGACTTGAAATTAATAGTAACTTCTGTGTTCGCGAGCGTGCCCGCTGAGTGCTTTGACTACGACATACGAAGCAAAATCTCGACGGTAATACGAAGGTAATTTCCATCGAGGACACTTTGACTCCAATCAAGTTTCTGCGCCCGAAGCGAGCTGGCTTTAAATTCCGTCGTCTTGGATATCTAACTTTTACCGGGTCACCGGACGCATCCTGAAAAGTATTCATAGATCGCGCCCCGTCTCGTACGTTTCTCTCGAGTTTCGATCGATCGATTGCGAACAACGTCGCGCGATATCAAGCTCTCTTCGTTACAATTTTGCGCGCAGTGCGCACAACATTTCCAAGTCATCACGACTTCGATTTTGACTCGATTTTGAATCGATTTTGTATCCTCCAGTCTCCAGTGTCCGATCGATTTTCCCCCTCATGTCGCGCGCGCGATTCTACACTGGCGTCGCGTTGATGGTGAGAAAGCGATTCTACAAAATTCGCGACGTGTTCCTCCCGCAATTTAAAACGTCGGTCGCCGCATTCCATTAACTTGTACATGAGCCTGTTAAAATGTATTCTTTCGCGTCGATGGATCTATTCTCTATTTTGCGTTGGAATTTTGTGCAAAAGAGAAAAAGAATGCGGAAAAGAGAAAGAAGAAAAAGAGGGAGATAGGGAGCGAAGGGAGGGAGGGAGGGAGAAGGAAAGAACGAGGGGACAGCAACTTTCACGTACGTCCATAAGCAGACACGGACGCAAGATCGATGGCCCAATCGCGTACTTTTCCGGCTTGTATTTTCCCGGATTCTAATTCCGGTGACGCCAGCTGACATTTTTCACCCCGATGTGCTCGGCTCGATCACACACGTACACACACGCGCGCACGCGTCACACACGGCACACGCGCACACACGTACGTAGGACAGCGGTAAATCGGTCAGGCGACCTCACGTGCCCGGTTTGAGGCCCGGTTTGAGGATCGCGAGGCGTACATAGTGCGGATGGTGGTGATCCAAGGAGATTATTGGAATCTCGCCAAGACCCACTTCAATATGAAACTCTCACGTCAACCCGCTACCACCGTCGCCGCTGCCGCCGTCTCCTTGCGTTTATCCGATCGTTCGACACACGATGTGTAACGTCGCACAATGGTCTGGAGAGAAAAATCGAGTCGACCCGCTGAAAAAAAGCAGGTGATAGCAAGGACGCTAGCGCCGTCGTCTCGCAGCCTTACGCGATGAACTTGAGCTTACGCGAATAGATGTGAAAAGTAGAGTGCTCTTTAGGGATAAAATGACGTCACACGGGCGATGTGATACGCGCGATATAATGACGATCGAATTTTCCGCGGTGCGTCGTCTCGGAATTCGTCCCTCTAATTGGAACGTGCTTCCCCCCCCTCTCTCTCTCTCTCTCTCTCCTTTTTGCTTCTTCGCCCCCTCTAATTACTTTTCCCTCAGAGACGATCGAGAATGATGATCGTGCGGAAAGTGAGCATGCAGGAAGCATCGTAATTCATAGCGGAATATTTAATCGTTCTCTCGGGACGCGTTATCCTTGATATCTCGGGGAAAAATATCTCTCACGGTCGTCGATACTCGAGACGCTCGTAAAGATTAGCGAGAATTGCGAGATAAGAAATCTCGAGAGCATGTCGCGAACGAACGCTTTTCCTTTTCGCATTTCTGCGAGAGCACGCGTCTGTTTGGCGCACCCACGCCATCCGGTAACGACCCATCCGATTTTTTAAGAATCCGACCAATTAAGAAAGGAGAGTTTAATTCTTGACAAACAAGCCTCTGGGGACTCGGCCGCTCCTCGCTTCTTATCCCGCTTGCCGCCGGCACGGCGTATATCTCCCATCCAGCCTCGTTTCTTCTTTATTCGCCGAGAAGGAGATTGGCGCTCCAAGTCCGCTGATAAATGAGGTACTCTGAATCGAAACGACTCGCCCCCTCTCGCCCCGGAGCCCCAGTGTTTCCGCCGCGATCCGGTCTCTGTCTTTGACTCGCGAGAAAACCCGGGTCCGCCGAGTTCGCCTCACCCTATCGTCGTCGTCTTAATTCATCAATACGTCGGCGCGCCGCCGGAAGCCGGATGTTTCGTACCGGAGGGCTTAAGAGGATCGTTGCGGCGTGGCGGTTAATACGCTCCGCTATACGACGCTACCGATACATTGTTCCGGCCAAGAAACCACCGCCAACCCACGGCGACGTTCCGGCGACGTTCCGGCGGCGGAACTCTCCGCCAGAGTTGGCCGGAGACCTGCGCCGTAAAACGGCGGATTAGGGATCCACGCGTGACGTTAAATTTAATTCATGCGGGGGATCCTGGCTGCGTCAGCTATATCGTTACGGTATCGGCCGTTCATTTAGCGAGGATGATACACGCGGCGTGTGTGTGTGTCCGTCGTCCAGCGGAGATGCAAGGACTCTACGTAACGACGTAGCGAATTTTGATGAAACGGCGATTAAACGGCGATTACGACCATCGATCGAGTTCGAGCGACCGGACAGAAACCGTACGCGACGCTCGAGATGACGAGATGATATAATTGCGAAAAATTACGCTATTCTTCTATCATTGTGCTATTAAGAGCGCAATGTTATTTCTTTTGTCTCGGATATTTGTCGGGCAACAAAACGGGGCGCGCGCAAACGAGCCAATTTTTCAGCGAGATTATCCGCGCGGCAATAGTATGATTAATCATTCCGCATTGCGTTGATGACCGGGGGTAAAAGTTTTAGTATACAGCGAGGTCGCGCAAGCGGTAATCTTGAAAAATCGCGCAATTAACGTCGCAAGACAATTGCTTGAGCCTGTTAAGGATAGCCGCCGCGCGCTCTAAGCCGTGCTACCGACGTAAAGCGCGACTTTTTCCGCAAACCACCCCTCGCGAGCCAGAGGTCGTCGCGTCACGAACGCGCCTCAACGCGACGCGACACGAGTCGTCGTCACGAGTTGAAGCTTCCTACTAATGATTCCACAACGCTCATCCATGTATGTCGCGCACGTACTCTCGAAGCGCAGACCTCCCAAGGCTTGGCGCGATCTTGACGAAGGGAAAAGACGAAGGATTTCAAGGGTAGCCGAAAGCCTCCCAAGTGGAAGAGAGCACTTTTGGAAGAGGCGGCGAATGTAAACAGAAGGCTTCCCCCGGAGATGATATTCTCGCGGTTACCGCGTTAGCGACTCGCGCGGAAGAAGACTCGTGCGGGCGCGCGCGCGAGTCCACCGGGAGAGTCCTCGCCGCCCCTATTCCGCCGCAGACCAACCCTCCGTCCGTGGATGCGTCCGTCTCTCCCGCGGGTTCTCACCGCGCCCGCTGGTGCGCGCACCCGGTGGCGCCTCCAAGCGACCAAGATTCCGGCGCACCCCCGCCGACCACGAGAGCTGCGCCGCGCGCGCGACTACGGTCTACCCACCTTCAGTCGTGGGTGCAGTGCGTGCGAGTGTGCAGCGGTCCCGAGAGCTGCTGCAAGAGACCGGCGTGGATTGGAGTGCGCGCGAGGGTTAGGTCAGTGTCAGGCTAAACCCGTCCTCGCATGTCCTCCGTCGTCGTCGTAATCCGTATACAACGTGTACACCGCTTGGGAACGTGCCTTACTTACGGGATTATCCGCCCTCCGCGACTGCAGGCGGGGACTTCCGGCCGGGACTTGCCGGTACGCGCGACGCGTACGGATACGCGTGAGGGGGCTGCCGCGGCGGGCTTTCTTTTTACCTCTCGTCGCCTTAGCGAAATGGATCTCGGGTGGTTCAGAAACGCGCCTCGGAAGACTTGGGCTTCTCGCGGCGGCGGTGGCGGTGGCGGTGCGCACGAGCACGCCGAAATTTCACGATAATTAATCCACCGACTGACGGATCGATATGTAAAACGCGCACGCAAGCGTCTCGCGAGCAAGCTTTCGCTGTGAAATTCGTAATTCGCACCAACGAGTTTACGCGCCGAGACAAAAGTTTCTTATGTAACAATCGCGACCGCAGAGAGGAAGGGCGCTCTTCCCGTTTATAAGGATATAGCGGTCGGATCTGCGCAACGCGCTGCAGAATCGCAATATCGCGCGAATTATTTAAGCGCGCGTAAGATATTATCGTGAGTAATTAAACCGAATCTGCGAGTTTGCCTCGTGTTCTTTCTCTCCGCCCCACTCCTGCCCCTCCCCTCCCTCTCTCTCCCTCTCTCTCTCTCTCTCTCTCTCTCTCTCTCTCTCTCTCTCTCGCGACAACTGCTGCGCCGATTTAAATTCACGTTGATTTTAATCGTCGGGAATTAGAAGCGCGGACGACGATTCGCGCGATTTTTACACCGGCGGAGTGATCTAATCGGGACTCGGAACGATTATCGAAACATTTCGGCAGCGACACGCGATGTCGCGTGGCGTTCTTTTTATTATTTCCCACCCGCCGCACCTTCCGTACCGCACGTACCGGCATTCAATATCCTGCGCCGCGCAAAATCCTTCCCATTGTGTCGGCATGCAAAATTCTCTCTGGCCTGACGCTCGAGCCAGAATTGCTCTGTGATTTTTATCGGAACTTAATAAACGCTCTAATCCTGAATAGCGCGGTGACTTGGCGAGCGCGACTTCCATTCTTCTGAGAATCTTCCTGATTACATTAGCAGCCTTTACCGTCAATTAATCCTCCTCGGCCTTTTATATTCC